ACATTGTGTGTTTGGAACATAGCCAGTCCTCATGCCAGCAAATTAAATGGATAGAAGTCCAAAACAAAATGTTGCTAAACGTATTTCATGAACAAAAGCAGGACAATATGATGCTTTGCTGTAACAATGGCCAGACAGTCATCAGCAGCACCGGCCAAATTAAACAGCAACAGGCCTAAATGCTGCATAAAACACGGGGTGGGGCATCAGGAACAAGATGGAGGAAATTATGATTGTATCTGACTAAAGAAGATTATGTCCATCTTGATACATCACAAGGATTATGTTCTTCACAAAGATTGTCACCATTCAGAGCCATGTCTGGGATGTTTAATCCTCAGCAAAGTTACAAGAAGGATTGCTTTGAGCCCAACAGATATTTGCTGGATTTTTTTTTTTTCTTTACCAAATATTCCTAACCAAAGTGAAGCAACAAACAAAGAAAATCATACATCCCACCAAAACCAAATGTTTCAGATGTTTCCTTTGCTTTTCATTGTACTGGAGGTTTTTCCATCATAGTTCTTACACTATTTGTATTCTCTATTTGATCTCAGTGCAAAAGAGCTCATTTAATTAATTATTCAGTGGCTCAAAACATTTTAAACTTGTGCTGAAATGCAAAATTCACATGGGTTATGCTGATGAATATCTGAACAATTCTGTTTGATTCCAGATTCCTGGGGAAAATTAAAAAGTGATGAACATGGCAGAGCATTTCCATGTCATTACCAACAAAATACTTTTTAATTAGCCTATATGAACCATAAATGACACTACAAAGATGTTGTACAGTAAGCCAACCCCTATGCAACTCAAATGTAGCCCTAAAATGGATGCACAAGAAAGACAACACTTCACTCTTTATCTACATGGACTGTATGTTTTCATCTGATGGGATAGCTAACTATTTTATTCCCAAGTCTCAAACAATTTGAAATAATGAAAAATTGTGGTCTGACAAGCTCTGAAAATTTCATGACAGTTTGCTTAAAAATTTAAATTCTGTCAATTTATTCACCCTCAAGTTGTTTCTTTCTTCTGCTGAACACAAAAGAAGATATTCTGAAGAATGTTTGTAACCAAAGAGTTGATGGACCCCATTGACTTCCATAGTATTTTTTTTCCATACTATGGAAGTCAATGCTGCCTCACAACTGTTTGGTTACAAACTTTCTTCAGAATATCTTCTTTTGTGTTCAGCAGAAGAAAGAAAGTTTGGAACAACTTGAGGGTGAATAAACGTTGACAGAATTAATTTTTTTTGGTGAACTATCCCTTTAAGGGTCCATGACACATGCTACGTTCACGCCATGTCATAATTACTGTAAATGCATTTCCGTTTGCTTTCGAGTCGCTCTCGCGGTACTTTGATGTCATACACCGATTGTCTGCACAGCGCCACTTCAATTTGAACACACCTTAAACCTGCAGTGGTCAGGTGGTACAGTGGCCACGTGGTACAAGTCGTAGCTCTCAATTACAAGTTTACACATTGTAATTACACGTTCAAGCATGTGAAGGCTTTTTACAGTTCAGAATCGTTAAGGTAATTACGACATGGCATGAACGCACCAACATATCGCTCTAAAGTTCATCTCAGCCTACATGAGTGTCACATCAGCATGAACATAGACAGCAATAAATCCTTCAAAACAGTCCTGAGGGTGTATTCAGCCTCATTGAAAATACATTAATCAACAAAACTACAACCAGAACTAGTTGATTCCTGAATACAGTGGTGTAAATGTTTTCGAACATAACAGGCTGGCACAGGTTTCATAGCAACATTTCAATGCATCTACGAATTCAACTTATTTTTATATCAATTAAATATAAACTAATTCAAATGCTTCTGGTGCACACAGAAAGTTGAAGTAATGTTGTAAGTAATGGTTTTCAGTGCTGTTGGACAGAAAAGTGAACTCTTGGCCTGTTGTAGATCAAATTTCAGGTAAGGTTTAACGCATGTCAAGGCTTCAGCCTGTCTTGATGTAACAGGAGCCACCTGAGCGAACGCATCTGTTGATGTTACAGTGTTTTCATCCGTTCAGTTAACAAACATGTTCTAAACCCTTCCCTAACTGAAGAAGACACATTTTAGGACATAATTACACACATTCTGTAGATCACAGTTGTTAAAATACAAAAACTGCAAAAAGCGGACAAGCTCTAGCAACCTGCACTAATCTGTTTCACAGCCCCACATACACAAGCTCACATCACTGGCTCTCAACACTTCATGTGCTTTGTTAAAAGTGTATCCAAGTTCTCCTCTTACCATGGTGGCCGTCCAGCGCAAGTTTGTTGTCCAACTCCATAACTTCAAAGACAGGCAAAATCAGACATGCTCTCAGTGCCAGGGGAGGGGAAGACAGCAACGGTTCTCTCTCTGCCTCGTCACCCGTTTGCCAGAAGAGCGCTGCCTCCCGTGCAGCCTGCCTGCGCTCTGTTCTGGCAGTCGGAGCAGATCTGTGCTGGGCTGAGCCACTTCTCTGGGCCCCACTCACTCCCACATGAGCGCCAGAGCTCTTAAAGACACAGCAGGGATTTTTTTCCCTTTAAATCTTGATTACTTGCTTTCTCTCTCTCTCTCTATCAGAGCATGCCTTTCTACCATCCTTACACCTCATTGTATTGTCTTGTTAATTTAATCTTGAAAAAAAATTGTTTTGTTAATTTAATTTATAATCAAGTTATAATTAATAATAATAATAAATAAATAAAATTTAAGTCCTGGGCTTGACCGGAGGATTAAGGCTGGCAAATATTTTAATAAAAATACTTTATTAAACTGCACCAAAAAAAAAAAAAACAAGTTACAAAGTTCGAAAATGACTGAGAATCCAATTGTTCACATTTTGCACGTAATGAAACCAATATGGATCAGTATAATAGTCCATTCAGCACCAAATGATTCTATATCTATGCCTATTTCATAAGAGAGCTGTTACTGTGTAAAGAGGGGGCAGAAAACTGGAATTCTGTCAGGAGGACCACTATCGTCAAATACGACTGGCAATTGCATAGAGTTTGAATTGGCGGTATAGTTCTGTTCTGGGCAAGAACTCCCTGCGCATCCATGCAGAGCAGCAATAACCCCCCTTAGGGTAAACAGAACAGAACCAACATCAATGTATTGCAGATATCATTAATTCAAGATTTTAAAGTACAACATAATTCGAGAATTTATTCTGATTCAAGGGGAGGTGCTTCAGAGGCATTATTAATGTTTATAAATATACTTTCTTCAAAACTGCTCACTCGTTCACTCAACCATGATCCAAAACAAAGTTAATGCTACAAACAAGAGCAGACAGCACTTTAAGACCTTACAGACTTCACTTCCTGAATGAGGACAGATTCTGAAACTTGAAATCCGATCATACTGCAACATATTTCCAAAAATCCAATTTTAATCGGATTTCAAACCACATATGGATATCAAGTGCCTTACTCTTAAGAGCTACGACACAGATTAGGATGCCGCTGATGTACTGGAGTGTGTGTGTGGGGTGTTAAATGCCGGTGTCTCTGCGGGGGTGTGCAGAGTAAACGCACAGAGACATTTGCTGAGTCAGCAACAAGCTGCCAGTGTCTGACACAAGCATTAGCACAACGCTGAGCTGCGGTGACACTACGGCTCACACAACAGAGAAGAATCTCACTGAGATCTGAAGAACAGTCTGGAATGTATGAGATCTTTTGCCAAATCAGTTTTTTTAGGATCTACCCATGATCATACACTACCATTTAAAAGTTTGAAAAGAACTACTTACTTTTTCAGCAAGGATGCATTTAATTGATCAAAAGTAACAGTAAAGATTTTTACATTGTTACAAAATATTTCGATTTCAGATAGGCGCTGTTCTTTTGAACTGTATATTCATCAAAGAATTTGTTTTTTTAATTAAATAAAATTTAATAAAATGTATTATACTGTATATTATGCTGTATTTTTAGCAAATAAATGCAGCCTTGGTGAGCATGAGACCTCTTTCATAAACAAAAAAGTCTTACGAACCTCAAATTTGAAAAGTTAGTGTGCATATATCATTTATATGACACTCTTGGGGGAAATGGGTTTCAAATCATGTTTTAATAAAGACCATTTTTTTTTAACTGTGACAGACATAATGATAGATAGATAGATAGATAGATAGATAGATAGATAGATAGATAGATAGATAGATAGATAGATAGATAGATAGATAGATAGATAGATAGATAGATAGATAGATAGATAGATAGATAGATAGATAGATAGATAGATAGATAGATAGATAGATAGATAGATAGATAAACAATTGAACTTTATCTAGCTATTATATAAACATGCTGGCCTATTTAATGCAATAGATCTCTTTAACCTTTTAACAAAGCAACCGTTGGCATAATGTGTCTCGTCCCCAAATTCAATGGCAGTGTGAACCAGAGCCCCTATTAGGCAATTCTAAACAATAGCCATCCTGTAACACCATCATAATTATGCCTCCCACTGCAAATTACTGGTCTGCAGCCTGTCTGAGACAGATCTGGACGAACAGAAAACAGTGGAGTCTACAGTGCGTTCCATCATGCTCCATTTCACGGGTCTGTCAATTGGCGTCACATCTGAACTTTAACACAATGAAGGCGAGGGTATAATTTTGAAGTTCATATCACTAAACATCTGCTAATATGAGTAAAATAAATAATATATTCTGAAACATTACATAAATAGTGGCCAAATCGTATTAACTTGCACACGTTATCCCTGCCTTTAGCACAGCAATGAGCAGGTCATTTGTCAAAATCGCTCATTTAGAACAGTGTACTAGACTCAGCATAGAGATACTATGGTAAAAGCAGCGCAGATTGGCAGCAGCAATCAAGTGATCAAATGTTTACTTTTGTCTTCCACTTTGCCACTCTATTACCTTTAAAGACTGTTATAAGAGTTTAATTGTCATCAAACTGTTTTTTTCACTGCAACAGGTGTGCAAGCAGATCCTACTCACTGCTATTTCTGGTTTGAGTGCTCTGGTCCTTACGGATCTGAACTCCCTCGGGAATGCTGGTGCTACGTCGCAGGAGCCATACAGTGCAAGATTCAGCGCGGCGCTCTCGGAACAGCAATGGACTGATCTAAGGAAAGGTCACAGAAGCCGTTCATAGAGTTATAGTGTTGGTGGGCAAAGGACTACAATACAGACTCTATAGGCTGAAGAAAGCTCATCTTCTGTGCTCTAACCTGTTACTTTGACCCGTTGACATGTGCTGCCCTCTTGAGTTTAAAGGGTGCCATTAAATGTGAAGTCATAATCAAAAGGATTCACAGCGCATTCTTTTTTAAAGTCTCAATAACTAAGATTAAGTATGTCTTTATGTGTGTGTGTGTGTGTACCTCTCTTTTGTCCAGAAGAACTAGTTGACATTCTGCAACCAAGCAAAACTTGACCTGCCACCCGATTGGTTCTGATAGTGGCCGTCCACAAGATATCCAGTGGATTGATGAACCTTTCATGTCTGTAAAACAGAATTTTTTTTGGATCGTATGAGAAATGAGACAAGAAGATGAGGCCTTCATGGATCAATTACAACCACAGCAGGACCAAAGAGTGTGAGTCTAAGCAGCTAAAACAGAAGGTGACGTGGCCATAAAGCCAACTGGAAAACAGCTCTATGAATGGACAATCCTTCATGCTTGGCCTAGATTCAGTTATGACTATTGTTTTGTATGAAAGCACAATGCTAGGTTAACTGAATTAGATAGCCTTCAATTTCTTTAAGTTAATTTACTGAGTTTAAAAAGAACATTTAAAAGACTACACTTTAGGCTGTTGTAATGCACCTCTGTGACTGTGCCACAATCCTGTGACATTCAGAACTGTTTTTATATAATTAGGAAAATTATTAAATTTTGCTGGCTAAAGGGCAAGACACTGAGATATACATATTCTATTCCTGAGACACAGAAAAATATGAAATACTCTAGAAGACATCTGTTTGCAGTAAGACTCTGTAAAATATGAATACTCTATAAAAGACTTGAGACCTGATTTTTTCAATGTTGGTTTCTTTTTGGTGAATTCTGTCCTCCAAACTAAAATTGTAATATGTATTGCTTTACTATACATTTCAGGTAAACAAGTGAACACTTGAAGACAACATTTACATACATTCAGATAACAGTCAACAATATAATGGTAGATTTTGTCTGAAACGTTAAACTGTGACTAAGTATCATAAATGTCAGGCTGTTGGGGCAAGTTGTCACATATGATGTAGTAGATGTAATTTAAAATCGCAGAAATTCATAACACTATTTTTTTTTTTGACTGATCAATGGATTGATGTTTGTCCATTGCATACTTTAACATTTTTGCTGTTTAATGTTTTTTTTTTAATCATACATTTTTTAAAGACCATGACAAGAGTGAGTGACATGCTTAGACATGACAAAAAGTCTGTTTAACTGTATCTTTAATGTAATAATGTTTAATAGTTTTTTTGTAGAGACTGTAAGAAGTGTAAATACAGGAATTGACTTTAAAAAAAAATCAATGTACCATATTAGAAATACTGACTGACTGACTGCCCCAGTCGACCTAATATGCTCAAAAAAAAAAAAACTAAACAAACAAAAAACATCCACGGTAAACACATGACAGACAAACTTCTTCATACAAGCAAACGTATTGATAATATATCAAATAGTACTTTAGAAAGCACGTTTCAGCCTCGAAACAAATGATGTAGGTTACTCACCGATGACCCTCATCCAGCCCTGGTGCTGACATCGGGTGATGTTCGGTGACATATTAGGACCACTAAACATGTCGCCAGCGTGCACTTTTCAACATGCAACGTTCCCGGACATTTGCACACCTGATGGACGCCTCACAATGACTGAATGCGCCATCAAAATTAACTTTTGGATTATGTAAAACGAATGACACTGGTTTGTGTTTGCAGATTGTTGACCCGTATGAGGCGCGCGCGCGGGTCACCGAGACTGAGAGTGAAGGGGACAAGACACGTCATGTAATACCTTGATTCAATTAAGTGATTAAACTCTCTGGCGAAGAAAGTAACTAATCTGTCCACAAACACAAATCTCTCTTTTTTGTTTTGTATTTTTCAGGTTAGTGGGCTACTGAATTCTGTAATACACTGATTATATTACATCAAATGTCACAGAAATTAGATTTAGCCTTTCTCTTATTCATTTGTTTCCTTCCTCTCAAGTAACAAACATAAATTCGTGCAGGCCTGGCTCATGAATATTAGTTGCGTAACGTTACGTTCGCCCGGTAAGCCTACCTGATTGGGTGATAGGCAGACGTTGAAAGTTTGCGACTCATGAATATTAATTCAACTACTTTACTGGACGCTCTCATAGGAGTGGACGCTCTAAGGTTAACAAGGAACGTCAGCATCACGTAATTAATATTCATGAGTTAACCTTTTGTCACAGGATGTGTAAATTATGACCCCATGACGACCGTGTCATTGACACACAGGGGTTATGCATTTATTACTTTTTTTTATAGGAAATTAAAGCAGATGTTCTTGGCAAGAAATAATATATTTTCCTCAAACAATTTTATACTTGTGACACGTGCCATTCTCTTCTCATTCTATTGTACCTCCCAGTTTACATTTACAGTTATATTTGTGTATTATGCAAAATAAAGAATGTCACACCTGTGAAAATGATGGTACAAACACACAAGATCACACCTTTAAAATTATTGCTGACAAACTGTTTTAATGGTCTGAAACAGGAATGAATGAATAATGACACATGCAAGTTTACACATTTAACATGTTTGAACACTGTTCCAAAAAAAACGTACATGTTAACCATGTACAACGTTGAGTGTGATGTATAGAAATAGTCATAAAAGCATTCAAAACTATTTTATTTTAATCTTATACAAATACATTTTGTCTCTCTTCTGAACCTTGTTAAACTCGTAACCAAAATATAAAACTCCTCTTTAAATGTGATCAAGTTGACAAAAACTTAATAAAAAAAAAAAAAAATTGTTTTGTTCAATCTGTGTTCAATTTCACAAATGCTTTTCCATTGGGGGTAATATTATAAAAGTAAAAAGTAAATACTTGAAATATATTTTTATACATTTTTTCCTTTAAAATCAATTAGAAAATATAGGTACATTTATCCAATAATAGCTTGCATAGCTGATAAAACATGTTAATAGTGCAATAATAAAATGGGGCTAATCTTATATCCAATTATATACATGTAAATAATAAAGTATTTTTAATACCGTAATGTTGTGTACTATAAAACTAATGAAGTCAAATGATAGAACCTGACAGCTTTAAAACTTCACATTACTTTCAATTTTCCAGTCAATCCAATAATCTGATAAGTGGACGAATCCCCTTACAGATCCAGCTCAAATATAACAACAATCTTTGGATAGCTTGTAGAAAACATTGATTTGACGGTCACATGTGGGTAAAGAGCCTAGATTCTATTGAAATGAAATGCAGACGATCGGTTTCCTTCTGCTTTTTTAAAGCAGGTCTTGTATATCCAATCTGACATGCCAGAGCATACAAAAGTATATAAAATAGAAAAAAAAAAAATACTTCTCAAAGCAATATTTGCTTCACTTTGGTTATATAATCACCAAGAACAAATTCAAATATTATGGTTGAAAAGGAAAGAACGAAAGTGCTGACTAATATTTTAACAGCTAAAAAGTACCACTGTTAATCTTAGGTGAACAAATAAATGTCGCTATATATTCCTTCTGCAGAAATACTCTTGGAGATGAGCGCTCCATGTTTTATTAAACTCAAAACTTAACTGAAACTCACAGGGGCGAATGCTCTTAAACGGTTTGAATCTGAAAAACTAAACTGGAATGACTTCATGTTACGTAATACTGTCCTTTATCTGCTACCTACTGTAATACCGGCTGTTATACTGTGTAAAGTGAGTATGCGTTACCAGACTGATTCATGTTTGTGATGTTTAAAGTGCCCTAAAAAGACACTGTAAATGACTTCAAGAAAAACAAAGACTTGATATAAGACCAGAATATCAGAAAAAAAACACTTATGTGGTTTGTGGGGAAACAACAAAAACAAAACTAGAGCTCTGAAACTATGGCTTTCAGAAAAGCGATGTAGGGAAAGACTATGGGGAGTTATCCATCTGCTGTTCTGTGATGTTCAGTAAGGTGTGGTTCCTTCCCACTCCACTAAATACTGCACCTTTCCTTCAGGTGTGATCCTACGAGCCAGAACCTGATACTTCTCCCCGCAGGTGAGCCTGCCGGCCGCCCCGAAATAGCTGGTGATGGAAGACTTGAGGTGAGACAGCGAAGAATCGTCCTCGCTGATGCTCTCAAAGGTGTGGCTGTCGATGCTGTTCTCCATCATGACGTTACTCTCTTCTCCAGGCATGCTGATGGGGCTGAGCTCACGTTCCACCATCTCTCTTTTTGTGGCCAGCACAGTGTAATTAGAGGAGGGCAACTTCCTCTTCCGACTGCCCACATTTTTCCTGTAAAGAACATAAGAAGCATAAGAAATTGCCAGTCACCGGAAAAAATGTTTGTTCATAATATTTCAAATCTTTTCTGCTCATGTAACCAGAGGAGATTGAAATCTTCACAATCCAAATCCTGACGGATACAAATCAAGAACGGAGTGCTTGCTTACTACCGGCTGCATACTTGCTGCTATCATTTTATTATTAAAAAGAGAGTGAGGAAAAATAAATAAATACACTCAGTATACAAACTGCTCAGTATACATTCTATAAACTACAAATATTAGTATTTTGTACTATTATTTTATTTCAGGTAAAAAGTGCTTACTTAAATATTTTTCTATGTATTATCCAACAAAAAAATATGACTTTAATGTAAAAAAGGTGCAGTTGCATAGATGCACTGAAACGGTCCACCACAAGATGTCCCTGTTTAACACTGAATTTTACTTCGCCGTCCCCTTTCACTTGCCTCTGTGGGCGTTGTGGCATTTTAAAGGTCATACAGCAGAACTGGACTTTAAGGTTTTTCTTTTTCATTCAGCGAATCTTCTGGGGAGTTTCCAATCTGCATAAGCTTCGTAATGACCACACATTTCTGCCCAAGGGCATGTGTAACATGGGAAATCACAGCAAGATATCAAAATCCAATGCTGAGAACCTCCATTTCAGAATCATTACAGCAGCTAAAATGGGATGTAGAGCTAAACAGTATTAGTACATGAAAGCCAAGCACAGAAAGCAGATATGTGTTTGTGAAGTGTTTGATCTAGCCCACAACTAGGATGCACAGTAGGGGACAGGGATCTGTCGACCCTCACAACTTTTCCAGTCGAGAAAATCCAAGTCGTGTTTATTTTCCTCCACCCTCTCTCTCCGCCTCTTTCTAAACACCCTAAGGAACACTCCAAGAATACTAATGAGCATTCCATATCCTAAAATAAATAAGACAAACTATGGGAAAGATTTCAAAGAGTGAGTGGGGACGTTTGGCAGTCTCTAACCAGCCATCCATCCAACTCATGTTCTGCGCACAGGCCTTTGCTTTCTTTGGTTGTGATTTCTCCAGGCCGAGCGCAGTGGGTGACAAAAAAAAACAAAAAAAAAATACAGGACAAGTATAAGGGATTACTAACTGTACAAGTATCTGGCCTGCAGGACATGAGGCATCTCTACCAGGAATTTGAAGAGCTTCAGAAGAAGTGGTGACTCAAAAAAAAAGAAAAAAAAAAAGAAAAAAACCTCTGCTCGACAGTGTCAATAACGCTCCACAATGAAAATAAAGCTTTGTGAGGAAGACGAAAGGGAACAGGCTAGAGGTAAAAAGATTTCATAAGGAATGGTTCATCCGCATATAAAAATCATCATTATTAGTCATTAGTCATCAATAGTCGTTATTTTTCTAATAATTATTTAGAATCTTAAGCAGATAAAAATGTCAGTGCTGTTTTGATGACATGAGGAAAAATAATAATTAAGTAAATTATTAGGTGACCTATTCATTTAAAGGAATGTGTTATTGTTCACAATCAACAAATATACAGTAAACACTTTTAGGTCACACTTTAGTTTAGGGTCCAATTCTCACTATTAACTAACTGTTAACTATTGCCTCAATAAACTACTGCTTATTAATAGTAAATAAAGTCCTAATTACGGCTTATTAATAGTTAGTGAGGTTGTTAAGTTTAGGTATTGGGTAGGATTAAGGGATGTAGTATAAGATCATGCAGAATAAGGCATTAATATATGCTTTATAAGTACTAATAAACAGCCAATATACTAGTAATAATATGCATGCAAATAAGCAACTAGTTATTAGTGAGAACTGGACCCTAAACTAAAGTGTTACCCACTTTTATAAATGGAAGCTAAACAAGTTAAAAATCATTTAAAATCGGTTAGATTTGTTTTTTAAACTCAGGCTGTGGCCAGTCAAATCTTGTTACTTTTGTATGATTATTTCATGCACAGATAACACTGAATCTGTTTAACACATTTTATCATATAAATTGTAAAAATCATAATTGAAATGCTGGAAATGTACCCATCTAAAAAAAAATAGTTGCATCTCAAAACAACAATTCAGACAACTTTGCAGATCATTTTCATGTTGAATTCACATAATTAAAAAAAAAAAAAAAAAAAAAAAACTATTATTAAAAAGTCTACTCAAGCATGAGCATAAATAGTAAAATACATATTCACTATTGACATAATATATAATTATAAAATACAAATAATTTTTTTAAATATATTATGTGTGAATCCTAAATATTAAGAATTTTGAAAAAAGATTTTATATTATTTATTACATCAAATATTACATATTAAACAAATTAAGGGGGGAAATTACAATTTATTTCACATTTTTATAAATTAATTTTCAAGACTTTTCCATTTTAAAAATGTCAAATTCCCTGCTATCTCCAGGTTTTTCATGACCAAGTGAACCCTGTCTCTTAAACCCCTCAACTTTCATTTTAAGTTTACTTTTAAATGAATACACACTGAGGGATGAGTCTGGGTAAAACTGCATAACACCAATGAATCTGTGGTAAATTGCTAACATGCCACAGGGGAGGTTGAAAATACCTGGAAAATATCTCTGACCTTCAGCGCTAAAGGAAAGCCAGATTCGAGACCTCAAAAGCTGACAGGCCGACATCAAAATTCCTAACTGCCTAATGGCAATCTCGGCTCAGACATGGTTTCACTCCCGTTTTCAGCTTCCACTGACTCCATCTTTAAAATAAACAGGAGCAAACAAGTGGCCATAACCATAAATAACCCATAATCTGACCATATATCTCTGCGAGCTGTCAGAAGCGGTTTACACACAACATCAGGTGTTGATGGACGCCTGTTATTCCTCTTTAACTTGTGGGCAGCGGAGTGCAACCCCAGCAGAGGAGGTGAGAATCTACAGTGACAGCCGCGCTGCCAAATTGTCCCACTACAGCAATATTGATTACGCTGCAGTAGCCGTGAAGAGGACACTTGTGAAAGAGCAAGATGAAAGGTGTAGAGGATTCAGGCCTGGAATTCCAGCAAACCCACCATGGTCATTCCAGAGCCCGAGTCAAATTGACAATTGCTCGAGCTCATGTATATTAAAAAGTAAAGCGTTTAGAGGCACCCTGCTGGCCCAGTGGTTTAGATGATATCATTGATGTCACCACTTCAAAAGTCAAGACAAATTAGAACCTCCCAGAACACCTCAAGCTCGCATTGAATGGAACCGCAATACCACTTAAGTTGTAGTACAGGGTTAGCATCCGTGGTTTCCATGGCAACAGGGGACCAGCGGGTTCGGAAAATGGTCCACTGAAAACATGCATGGCTTTAACTTCACTTATTTGAATCGCACTGTTGCAAGGATGTACGAGAGTACGGGTGATTCGCAACAGCCTGTGAAGGATTACATCACACCAGCTGCTAAATCTACACCCCCGTGGCTAAACAAGTTTATATTTCAGCTGCGATGCGTTCAATTAGCTAATATGTTAATGCATTCAGTTCCTTTTTAAAGAGGACCTATTATGCTTTTTTTCATTTTCAACTTTCTCTCGTGTGTAGTGTTGCTGTTTGAGCATGAAATATGTCTGCAAAGGTAAAAATTCACTCCAAAGGGAGCTATTCACTATAAGTGCACACTGTTTCTGAACTCCCTCTGTTCTGAACTCCCTCTGTTCTGAACGCCTCTGTTGTAGTCTTGAGTTTTCTTTCGGGAACATGGCAAAATATTCCTCATTTAAAAAATTACCACCCAAGCCATACACAAAAAAAGGGGAGGCCTCATTTAGTTGCGTTAGTAGTGTGTTGAAACTCACAGTTAGTATTATGGCGCTTTTCCACTGCATAGTACGGTACGGTTCGGTTCGGTACGGCTCACTTGTGGTGCTTTTCCACTGCATGGTCCGGTACGGTACGGCTCGCTTCGGCTCGCTTTAAATGGTACCTGGTCTGTTGAGGTTCCAAGCGTACCGTACCGGTACTAAAATGTGACGTAAAAACACTGCAGATCACTGATTGGTCAGACAGAATCGTCACTACCAGCGTCATTGGACACTAAACCCGCTAGATTTAAATAACCAGTAGACAACAGCCAACGCGGTAGCATCTGTTTTTTAAACTTTAAAAAGAAATGGTTGAATCGTGGTCAGTGGACGAGGTGCAGACGTTCCTCTCGTTGGTTGCCGAGGAGCGGATCCAGCGAGAGCTGGATGGGCCAAACGGAATGAAAAAGTGTTCCAAGAAGTAGCTCAGCTCTTAGCCGCACACGGCTATCACCGGACCTACAAACAGTGTAGGGACAAAATAACGATCAGTCCCACCCACTTTGAAGAGGTACTAACTGCGGTGGAAAAGCAACCGAGCTAAAGCGAACCGAACCGTGCCGTACCGAGTCGAGTCGTACCACGCAGTGGAAAAGCGAAGCGAGCCGAACCGTTCCGCGCCGAGTCGAACCGTACCGAACCGTACCGAGCCGTACCAGCAGTGGAAAAGCGCCATTAGGAGCATGACATTTACGAAACACGCTCAAAGCAGTTGGCCAATCACAATACACTGGTACAGCCGGCCAATCAGAGCACATTGCGCTTTTCAAAATATGTGAAAAATAATGTGTTTTTTGAACATTCAAACTTAAACCTAACATACTGTAAGAGTGTGTATTTAAATTAACATTCACAAGTGTTTTTTTTTTTTGTTACATACATAAAAAAATATATATATACAACATAGGGGTGGGTGTCTTTATGCACCTAGGGATTTGATTCTATTTCAATTCAAAAAGTCGCAATCTGATTCCCAAAAAAATCACGATGCATCTTCATTTTTCTGCAACACTGTGAGGGTGCGAATCTTGGGTGAGTTAAGGTGCCTCACTGTGTAAAGATATGTGCATAAATACTGTATATATATACTGTATTATGTCTGCTTTGACCCTCCGACAGAACATGGTTATTATAATCTAGTCAGTGCCACAGAGAGTTGGCAAATATAGAAAACATTTCAAAGATTATTTTTATTTAGAAAATAGTAATACATAACATTGTTAATTTGCAGATCTGAAGAAACTGAGAAACTGAAAAGTACCTGAAGTCATAGGAGACGCTGGTGGTGGCTGAACCAGAAGTACTGGCTGCGTCGGTGGAGTCCTGGTCCAAACTGAATGTTTGTCCTGAACTGGTGCTAAGAATGAAGATGGACAAATCCATAAAGAGATATAGAGACAAGGAAAGAATCAAAAAACAGAAAACCAAAACCATCACATACTTACAGTCAACATGAAAGTTAACACACAGTTAGCAACCCTTTTTACTTCCATATTGTCACATCTCACAGCAAATAGGTAGGCCTTGATTTTACTTATGAGGAATTGATTGAAACCAGTGTTTTTATTGTTAACTAAAACAATTTTTTGCTAATTAAAATAAAGCTGAAATAAAATAAAATATATAAACGTTAGATGGAAAAACTTAAAAGAAAATTGGGCACCTAATTCAAATAAATTAAGTTTAAGTTTAATAAATTAAAGCTAAATAAAACTATTTTAAAAACTAATAAAAATGACAAACAAACAAAAAATTAAAACTGAAAAAGCCAATTCAAAATAATAATAAATACTATTATTATATTATATCAAAATAAATCACAAATAGTCACATAAAACAATACAAATTGGAGAAAATGTTGTTTCAATTTGACTTCATGTTACTAATCTTAAATCTTTCTCAGTCATACTCAAGAGGCCAAAGCAAAAGGGCTCCTGAAGAACACAAAAGAATACAGTTGATCCGACCTGCTGCTTGCTATTCAACACATTATACAGCGCTGGGATTGTGACTACACCAGAGTTTATCAGGACTACCATTCAAAGGATGGCAGTCATTAACTACAGTTCACGGCTTTGTGATGAAACCCAACGTGCCCTTTTTATTATGGCCGAAACCAACTCCAGCTTTCTCTTTTATACTCTTCAACAATCCCTCCCAGACAGCCGCTTTCGCCTCTCAAAGCTTTGTCTGCCCCAATAGTGTTTCCAATTCTCTCATTATTCAGGCCTGTTTGAGAGATGATAACCTTTACAGAAAAGTATAATTAAATCGCTTCACCAACCGTGTTGATAAAAAAAATATATTTTCTGTGGGGTGGGGTTGTGATTGGGGAAACAGTGAAAGACCTTTCTGATATTTCAAAGGAAAATGGATGCAAATGAGCATGATTGTTCGAAAGCCAATAAATAGATGCTTAAGGATTCAAATCAAAGGTAATGAGAAAAGGTTAAGCGTGCCGTCTGTTGCCGTGAGACTGAATTTGATTGAGACCTCATTATGTACATTGACGGAAAGGGGACGATTCATTTCTGCCAGTTTTAGCACAGGTGAGGCGACTTTATCAAAAAAAATGAAAGGGCAGTCGTATCAAATGAGCCATCAAACCCGAAGCATGCAGATATCTGTATTATGTGCTTAATTGTTACGACGTGTCCTAATGAATTATTAGGTCACTAAGAGGACAAGGGTAAATAATGAACTAGTACCACGACAAATCAATTATGAAATATTACGGCTTTTCCACACCAATTTTAAAATGCGAAACACTTGAAAAACAAACGTGGATTAATAAACTATCTTACTGTGATGATTTTATTCACATTAAGGAAGAGTGGTATGACCAATATTTTATATAAAGATATTAATATATATATATATATATATATATATATAGTGTAAACGTTTTTCAGCAAAAATAACTAACTTATACATGACGGTATAGTTATTTTTAATTACAAAAAAGTTTTACACTATATGTTCATGAGGTAAAGGCTATTTGTGGACAATTAAAAAAAAAAAACATGTGAATTAAATACTTCATCTTTTTTGATTATATCTTAGGATTATTTTAATTATTTTCTGTAAAAGCACTTTGAATTGCCATAGTGTGTGAAATGTGCTATATAAATAAACTTGCCTTGCCTTAAAAATCTTTAATATTATAAAATATTTTATACTTCTTATCGATATATAATAGTTTTGACTATATTCTAATTGGATGATAAACATTATATCAAAGTCATTATATACTCACATCTGTGACCACACATCAGTTGAATTTTACATTATAATATACCATTTAATTCTATATTTATTTCATACCAGTGGCCAATCCCAATTCACCTTGCTTCAATAAAATAAAACAAATTATAATAATAATAATAATAAAATAATGAAATAAAAAAGCTTTGGACTTGTGTGAATGATTTTAGCAACAAAAAAGGGCAACAAACAAAAAGTTCAATTCACCTCTTTAAACTCTGCAGCTCGTCCAGCGTGAAGTCGAAGATGTTGGCCATGTGATGATTGGTGCCCCAGGCAGAGGTGAGGTCATTCTGCGATGAGGTCACAAACAAAGCATGAAATGCAACGTTAAATTCATTTCACCGCATCGACTCATTGTCATTTGGACAATGACGATAACCACAGCTTTGATTATGACGATCAGAGCCGTCATGGTAGTTACAGTCACTCTAATGCCGTCTTTGAAGTTGCTCTTGGCATTATTAGCCGTGCTGCCTGGAGTGTCGAGATGTGTAGTTCAAGTAAAGCATGTCTGGGGACTGGAGACCTCTCAGAAGGATTTGTCAGTTAAAAGCCTCAGAGGATGAATGTAATCCTTTTTAGAAAATTTAGAAAGACAGAATGAGAGGGTTGGGGAGAAACAAACTTAAAGTAGCGACGTAACCCAATAGATTTTGTCAGTAGCGTGAATACTTTTTGTTAGTAGATTGTAGTGCAGCTGAATTCTTGCACTAAAGGCTAGTTTGACTCGAGTTCAGCTACATGAAATCATGAGTAGCTTGTAACATGGCTTTCAAAGTAGCTTCACCAACAGGGAGAGAAAAAAATATGAGGGAGGGAAAGCAAAGGCGAGAAAGAGACAAAACAACACAGGAGAAGAGGGGGAGAAATGCAAGGTCTGCATGGCAGCAGGCGTCAAGGAATAAAAAGAAGATCACCACGGGGCGCAGGGAAGATGCTAGAGAGAGATGAAGAGAGCCAGAAGACAACCAAGAGTAAACTTCGCTTGGGTCATATTTAAATTTAATAGTCAGTACATAAGAAACCTTGTAGAAAATGGCAGAAAAAAAGAAAGAAAAAAAGAAACAAGTAGCAGAAATGAACGATTGGCTGCATGAAATTGAACTATCGAGGAATTCAGGAAACTTCAAGAAGTGCTAGAGCACAAAATCTCAGTAAGGGAAGCTCAGATTTGGACTGACAGGTCAAACATAGTCTCAGAAGTCCAACACTTCACCTCTGCATGAATCAGATTTCAAGAGGACTGCACAAACTGAATTATTTAGTGTGTGTGTGTGTTGGTGTGGGTGTGTGTGTGCGTGCGTGCGTGCGTGTGTGTGTGTGTGTGTATGGTTTAGTGATAGATCAATATAAATCAGCTAGGCCAGTGTTTGTGAGTTGATGAAAAGCTGATGATTAAATCATAAAATTGTAAAATCACAATAAATAAAACATTGAAAATAAAAACATCAAAATGAAATAACGATTAACAGAACCGTGAATATGCTGTTAAATCATTATAAAAAAATAAAAATAAAAAAATGATATATATATATATATATTAGGTCAAAGAGGTTCGGTACACTAAGTTTGTGAATCCATAAATTATGCATCCATTTTAAGATTACTATCATCCTGTGCTAATGATGCCCAACTGGCCAGTTAACGGTGTCTGATAATCTTGTGAATGGATATCAAACACTTCCTGTTCTCAAATATTTCTTAGCAAAATTAGGGTTTATTTAATTTCAGATTTTTTTCCCCACTACTGTTCAGAAATCCACTACTGTTCAAAAATTTGGGCTAGGTATGATTGTTTTATGTTTTTGAAATAATAAGTGTCTAATGCTCACCGAGGCTGCAGTTATTTGATCAAAAACAGTCAAAACAGCATTGCGAAATATTAGTGCAATTTAAAAGAACTGTTTTCTGTTATAATAATTGCTGTTATAATCAGCATCATTACTCCAGTCTTCAGTGTCACATGATCCTTCAGAAATCATTCTAATATGCTGATTTGTTGCTCAAGTAACATTTCTTATCATTATCAATGTTGAAAACAGTTGTGCTGCTTATTTTTTTTGTGGAAACCATGACACTTTAAAAAAAAAAATCATTTGATGAATAGAAAGTTTAAAAGAACAGCATTTAAATATTCTGTAATAAAGTTTTCATTCATAAAAAAAAAAAAAAAACCTGACCTCCATTTTGAACTCCATTGTATTGGCCATCTCTAGATACCGATGTTAGCCACTGAGCGATTCATATCATTCGACCACTAATAAATACACTGTTTCATAAACTGCTTAGACTAGTCTTACAAGTAAGTCATCATTTTTGTTCTTTAAGGTCATAACCTTTTAATATCATTTCATAGACTGGCCTATTTTGAATCAGATATATATTAACCCTTGGCTAACTGCTAGTTGTTTACAATGTTTATGCAACTGGCCCAGAACCTTTTTTTATTATACAGACCTAGTAACTGTAACAACAACAGAACACAGATTTAAACCAGACAAGAAAGGTCATGTTATACGGCTGGTGACGCAGTGAAATGTTACCCGGGTGAAAAGCTTACATTAGGAATTGCATCCTCCAGCAGCCACTTGGACCTCTTCTTTCTCCGCTTCTCTGCAGGAACAGAGTTACTGCAACAGAGGAAGAAGAGAAACATTCAGTCGACATAATTGAGCATAATAACAGCTGAACTAAATAAACTGTCAATCAATGCATCATCTCCACCCACTAAACATGTCATTACAGATTTGAGAGCAAAAACTATTGAATCCTAAAAAGGAGATGTGGCTGTCAAATATAAAATTATAGGGGAGAAGCCAAGTGTCTTTCAGTGCATTCATTACATTATCAAAGCACTGCGAACATCTAAATTCCCTTTTATAAAGACCTCAGTTATGATCAGCCGACTGGATAAATAATAAACAAATAGCACTGTGAAACAATTAAAAGATTTAATTGGGATCAGTCTCATGATGAATTTCAATGTTTCCATGTGACATCAACAAGTGGTCTCATTCATTAAAAATGGGAGGCACTGATAAGGCAAATTAAACAATGAACCTGCTTCTGCTGGCCCCTTTTTTGTGGCCCCTGTGGCCCTCGCTGTTCTGGGCCTTCTCTGGGAACAACTTAGATGGAGGGTTAGGAGGGACCCTTGTCCTTAGTCGGAAAATGCATTTCCTCTTCTTGATCTCCTTCCCACAGAGAAACCTAAAAAAGGGGGTCAGAATAAATATACATTGAAAAGTGTTCTTACATTTTTTTTAATATACAGTATATTAAATATATTTATAAAAACACACACAGGAAAACATTTTTCTTACTTGCTTTTATAGTTGTTGAGGGCATCAAGAATAAACTGGCCTCGTTCAGACAGAGGGGTATTGGAGAGCTGAAATAGGTGAGAAAGTCTTTGAGAGAAACTGACGGTGTGATATGGGCTTTTATTATAAGACATTTCCTTTGCTGTTGCCTTGAGCTGTCATGTTTCAATGAAGACAAATGAAGCCCATTGGCTTCGCTATAGTTAAGTCTTGCAATTTAGCAATGCTGTTTTCTCAGATTACACATGACAAGCGGTCATGCGGCCCGTGAGCTACCAGTCGTCCTGATTGGAGGTAGCTTGCCGAGACATACTTTTCATGTGAGGTTATTTATTTATTTTATGAACATGCAGATGTGGTTACAAACAATCTAGCAAAATAACAACCAACAATAGAAAAAAACCCTATCGGGACTTCTAAGTTTTGATCAAGCACTTCATCATGGTCAGTTTTCATCAGAATGAGTAAAGACATAATTCAAGCAAAGAAAAGGGGAAAAAACCTTCTGTTTAAATGCTATTTTCAGCATTAAAAGATTAGTTCACTTCAGAATTAAAATTTCCTGATAATTTACTCACCCCCACGTCATCCAAGATGTTCATGTCTTTCTTTCTTCAGTTGAAAATAAATGAAGGTTTTTGAGGAAAACATTTCAGGATTTTTCTCCATATAGTGGACTTCAATGGGGTCCAACAGTTTGAAGGTCCAAATTGCAGTTTCAGTGCAGCCTCAAAGCCTCTACACGATCCCAGCTGAGGAATAAGGGTCTTATCTAGCCAAACGATCTGTCATTTTCTAAAAAAATAAATAAACATTTATATACTTTTTAACCACAAATGCTCGTCTTGCACTAGCTCTGCGATGCGCCACGCATTATGTAATATATATATTTATTTTAATTTAATTTAAGAAAACGACAAGTTTCGCTAGATAAGACCCTTATTCCTCAGCTGGGATCGTGTAGAGCCTTTGAAGCTGCATTGAAACTGCAATTTGGACCTTCAAACCGTTGGACCCCATTGAAGTCCACTATATAGAGAAAATCCTGGAATGTTTTCCTCAAAAACCTTCATTTCTTTTCAACTGAAGAAAGAAAGACATGAACATCTTGGATGACGTGCGGGTGAGTAAATTATCAGGAAATTTAAATTCTGAAGTGAACTAATCCTTTAAGTCTCACGCAGGCGCAGCATGCAGCGTAGGTTTCGTTTGTGTGAAAACATGACGGAAGGCAGAGTGCTGAGAGAAATGATATGAAACAATTTAAGAATGAATTATTTAATTCGCCTTTGGCTAAGCCCCGCCCCCCTTAGTTACTGTTGCTAGGTCCGACAAACAAACTTCATCTGGGCTCTGGTATCAACATGGCTTATGCTGTGACAGCTCTTCCTGCTGAAATTTTATCAAACTTTTATAAAGCAGCAAATAAAGTGTCCGATAGAAGTAGTCAAAAGGGGCTGCAATATACGTTCGAAGGCTATATTCATGACATACAGGTGAAACGCAAGGAACAACAAGGCATCCAAATAGAGGCAAAAGCATACCGGTCAGTCAAAAAATGAACCACCGCATATCCTACTAATCGAGACGGAGGCTGGGACTAACAATATCAAGGAGCAACACTGTTCATACAAAGCTGGGTAGGTCTCTATTCACTTCTATAATCGTTATTACAAAGGAAACGGACTACGCGAGTATAACGTTGTATTTATTAGCAGCGTGTGCTAGACGACACTTGTCAGGATTTGACTTCGGTTTTGGGAAGGGAAAAAAACGCACACCCCCCTCAAACTACTCTGGGAAATGCGTATCTGTGTTACAAATGCCCCAGGCACAACGTTTAACCATATTTTAGATAAAACTACGACGGTAATAGCCTGCTGAGACCAAAAATATGAGACGCCTGTGTTAAAGTCAATGGAGCGCTGTGAAAAAGTGTCGGACCTCTGTGGGAGCTCGTTCTTGGCTGCGCTGTGATTGGTCAATCTACATTCTAGGGTGTGGCTTAGCCAAAGGCGAATTCTATGAATGTATAAGAGGGAACTGACTGTCTTCAGAAAAAGTTTCGATGGCATTCGCTTTTTATCTTCCCTCCGTGTAAGCCTTATAAAGCGCTGATCGGCACGGGCGGTAAGGTACTCGTGTGTGTGTGTGGGTTGCGGGACAATAAAACGATTTGCGGGACTCCCGCAAAAGAGATATATTTAAAAAATAAAACATCTAAAAACAAATAAATTGTTATTCATATGTTGCACAAAAGCAACAAGAATAACTAAAACTAAAAAACGATTTACAGGCCAGAACGAGTTTCTATTTATAACATGTTTGCAGCGTTGAGCAATGTAGATAATCACGGACATATGTGCTGTTTTCTTGCAAATCCTCTGATTATAACAAACAAAGTGTTGACATTATGAAAGGTTTATTGTGCAGTCAGCTTCATTGATAATAACTGAGCTTTGTGAGATCGCAATGAGCTAAGATGTCAGCTTTATAGGAATTATTAAGGGAGCACACTTTGCGTTGTTTCTGTCAAGCCAAACCATGCCAGCAGTAGCCTATGCTTGCTTTTATGTTAAATTAAACATAAATTATGTTTGTAAATGTTTATGGTTTAATAAAAAATAATTTATCACCATCATTACAGGTGTTTTATGTACCTTACTTGTGTTGTGAGCATCACCAAGCCACAGCTTACTACAAGTTACTTGTGGTTGGCCTGGCCGTGCGTCACTCAGAAAACAACCGGCCAATCAGAAGAGAGGCTCATGAATATTAATTAGACAGGCCAAAATCGACCTGTTCTTGGCAGAGCTCCTGAGAAATGAGCTGTAAAAATATATTGAGATAGTTTTTGGTACTTATACTGCAAATACATATATTCTTTTCTTATATATAAAACACCTGGCAAAGTTTCACTACGTATTTCAAAGGACCTGCTTTTCAATTCCTAGAAATGACCGCAATCATCTACCAGACAAATCACTACCTAAAAGTTACAGACTTTACCTTTAATTTTTTGTCCTATAATGATCTTGGATAGAAAAAGCTTGAATATATAACCTTGCCCATCTGGAAATGATCCCAGTTGTTGCTGATGAAGGTAAGGATCTCTTCCAGTTCAAAGTATTTCTTCTTACTTTGGACTCCTAGGTTGTACAGGGCAAGATGGACCACATCCACCCTGTAAATGAAAAAAAAAATGTTTAAAAAAAAAACTCCTGCATAATGCCACTTAGAGCTCTAAAGTGTGAGAGTAAGCTGAAGATGTTTTAGACCTAAAGCAGAAATGCTCTTAGATCAAATGACACTGCCAAAATCTGCATGAAATGTCACATGGTAAACGTTAAATAGAGTGCCGTTCTGTTCACAAGGCAAGGTCCATTTTAACACACCAGACTTTTTAAGAAGGATAAAGCTTAAATCCGAACCGAGACTGACTTCATACCTAAATATCCAGCACATCCAGCTCACTGTATTTCAAGAGTAATCCCCCTGCTATCATAAGAGATCCTCTCAGCAGCAAATCTTTGGTTTAAATGGCTATTTCTCATTTGGGACAAAAAGCAAGAATCAGTGTCTAGACAAACTCTATGCTGAAAAAAACCCATCGAACCCACTTTACTTTCTGAGATAGCCGGGAGCACCAAAGAAAAAGCTCCGGATCGAGAGCTCCGGCCTGTATCAATCAAATCCGACACTTTGACTGTATAATTCTGACACAGATCTGGGCACAATCACTCGTGAGGGGGGAAAGAAGAGCTGCCCATTTACCATCTGAGAGCCAGCCGCTTGATGTATTCCACTCCTTTATTGCACACCGCACAAATGAACAAGTAAAACCTGGGAGAGAAAAGACAGAAAATGGAGTCATTTAAATGACATACCTTGGAGAGGTGCAAATGCTTCTGCGGCCACAGAAAAATTGTGCCTGACAGTGTCATAATGATCTTTTAAAAAAAATCCCCTAATGCATGTAATCTTGCCTGTGTGCGAGGACGCATTAAAGTTTGTCGCAATATTCACTAATCATCACTGTTGAGATGTTGCAAATAGAATTTCACTTTGGTTATTGCATTCATTGGTCTTTCTGAAAAGCAACGGCTTATATTTCATTATAAAACGGAAAACGCCGACCCTAAAATCTGATTGGACCGATTCGCCGTTCGAAGCCACCAAAGAGCAATTTCCAGCAACGAGCAATTTGTCGGTACACACTGAACGTGACTCAGCTGCATGACACAATCACAGCTAATCAGAGGCTTACAGCTATGTGGAGCTGGATTTTCGACCAATGAGATTTCATTATTTAATTTTATTAAACCATGCAATCAGAAAAACGTGTTGCTCGCCATGAGTGCAGTTGGTTCAACAAAAACTCTAAGAATGGTTTACTTTGATTATTTAAATACTTCAGCCATTTAAATATTTATTGATTATTTATTTATTCATCATATTAATGTTGTTGCTGTTTTATAAAACCAAATGCCACATGATGTTATGCGTTACAGTGATTTCCAGCAGGTTTTATGCACTCCACTTCCAAGTTCTGCCTAAAAATACCCTTCGGCCATGACACAATCACTGAAAGCATTGCTTTAATGATCTAAAGCCAATTGTTTTTCAGGAAAATTCATTGATTTGAGGGAAACTATGAGAAATCAATACTGAAGGATGGCAGAGTATTGATGCAAAGATGTAAGTTCTTTTGTTGTGGTAAAGTTTGTGATAAATGAAGCTCTGTACATACCTATCTCCAAACATCATGGACTCCTGAAGGCACTGCGTACACGCCTCATGAAACCACTGCTCGCAGCGAAAACATTGCAGCATTTTCAGGTACCACCTGATGGGACAATCGAGAATAAGAAATGAACTGTCGATTGTTTCTTATCAGACACAAAGCACAAAGACCTAAACAGACCAATTACATTTCATGAAAAAATAAAAGAACAAGCAAAACTAAGGGGGTGGTGTGATGGAGTGATGCTCAGATCTCTATTTTTTCCATTCAAATGGTGTGTCTATAGAACAGCAGCAATAGAAAAACCAGTAGCACAGCATTAACTGGATGTTTCTTGAAGCTGGAGCGTGAACTACAATACATGTGTAGGGACGCACCAATACCACTCATATAGACCAAGCACGAGTAATAGAGCTGCACAGTTAACCAGTAAAAGATTGCAATCTCGATTAAAACACCCAGGTGATCTCATTCCTAAATGACAACAAAACGCCTGTGTCTATTAAACATTTAACAGAATCACACAAGAACATTCAAATCTGTGTTTGAGCTGCCGCCGACCCAGAGAAAGCAGTTGTCATGTATATGTATGAAACGTCTTTTCAACCACACAATATCATTATTTCTGTGTTGCAAATATTACATTTATCACAGAACTACTGGGATAAAAGTTTATACTTTGGATATAAACACTGATTTCTACTGTGGCGATTATAATAGACCACCAAATCACCTTTTGAAAGTAACTTGGTGCTGCAAATAACGATTGTATCAACTACATCGTTTCACCAGTAGGTGGCGACAAGTGACTGTTAAGAATGTATTTGTCATTGAATCATTCATTCAAGAGATTTGTTCAAAAAGGCTGATTCTTCCAGTATTGAAACAACTGAAGTGTTATGTCATTGAATCATATTAGTATTTTATGTTGTGTAATGTAGACTGAGACACTATATCAAAATGCACAGACTTTGTTCAAGTTGCACACTGAATATGGGATGGAGCTCTTAATTTGGAACTCTCAAAGTGCATGAATTTAACTTTAAAATGTTTGTTTTTTTTAAAAGCCCCTTGAGGAACCGAGGTATTCATTAATTTTATTATTCGCTTAATTATTTTCAGTTTTCAATTGAATTTTCATTTAAGTTTTAGTAATTTTGCTATGTGCTTTCGTCATTTTTATTAGTATATTTCTATTTATCCTTAAATCTTTTTAGTTCAGTTTTAGTTTTAGTACTTCAGCTCAAACGTATTTTATTTTAGTTAGTTGCCAAGGCACCATTTCAAATTTTAGTTTAAGTTTTCATCTAATATTTATATTTTATTTAAGCTTCATTTCAATTAAAGTTTCAGTTTAAGTAGTTAACAGTAACAAAACTGTGCTTGTCATTATTAAGTAAAGCATAAGATGTATAACTTGTGTTTAACTTATGAAGTTTCAGTTCATTTGATTCAGTGTCACAGCGCACATATAGAGCTGATCCTGAACAGTGTGGCAGACTGTGATATAATAATCAGATGAGATGACCACTGCTACAAAGCAAGTAGGGTCTGTATTTTTTTGGAAACCCAGCGACAGTCCCTGTTCTGCCGTTTGTTGGATAACACATGCATTTTTTATTTTGATCAAAATGATTTGCGCTGAGTGAGCAGACGGCAACCGAGTGCATTTGTCACGCTTTCCTCACTGTTTTTTCCTGCATTTCACTGACATGTGCAAACAAACCATATCAGTCCAATTAATGAAACATTTGCTGCATTGACTGTATTTTCATTTTCAGCTTAACTTATTTCAGTGGCGGCTGGTGAAAAATATGTGGGCGCCCTAGCGTCCTCTATTGGCTCAATATTAGAAAGTATTCAATATTTTTTTTTAAATTGGAGAAAACAGAAAAAAGGCTGTAGGACAACTTCAAAACCCAACCTTCTGATGTTCATTCATGTTTATTTTGTGTTGTAACTAGTAAAGCGGAAGAGATGATTGGTTCACATGTGCTCCGTGTTGCCGCCTCGCTTGAACTGAGGTGCTACAGCGATCTGTCACGCCACAAAAGATCGCAGCGACAAGAGAGACGTCCATGGTCTCACTCCAGTCTTTGGGAAATTAACCCATTTTCAATTCTTTTGAGGTTTACTGTGTTTGCAAAAAAAAAAAAAAAACTCTTCGGATCTATACAATTTGCACGAACAACATTTTTGATTCAAAACGTAGAATTTAGCCGAAAAGCGACTACCGTAATTTGTAGGTATGAACACTGCTCTGGAGGATATTGTCATTATTGTCAAACATAATGGCCTGGTTTCACAGACAGGGCTTAGATTAAGCCAGGATTAAACCTTAGTTCAATTAGGGCAATTAAGTAGCTTTTATAAATATATTTGCCTTAGAAAAAAAAAACATTACTGGTGTGCACCTTGACAACAAGTCAAAGTTCAAAACAATGGCACTGACATATTATTAAGATTTCAGTACAAGTTGCTTTCAGTTAAAACAGCTCAAACATGCATTTTAGTCTGGGACCAGGCTTAAGCCTTGTCTGTGAAACCAGGCAAAAATGTATAACTCGTGTTTAACTATCTGACATCCATTCAGTGTTTTCATAATGCCTAGATCTCTAGCAGGGAAAGAAGGAAGACCGCAAAACGTCCGGAACGAGAAGAGACGAGGCAGACTCACTCTCCGGGTCCTCCGCAGTAACAGTAGCACTGCTGATGGTTCGTACGATGCAAAGAGTCCCACTCCAGATCCTCTGGATTATAAGTCAGCACCTGCTTCATGGCCTGTAGCGCTTTGGAGATTGGCCCTTTTTTCAGAGCTCCCCCTTTCTGCCACACACATGAAACACACATGTCAGCAACATACTTTCCCTGATCCCCATTCATTTATATGGAAACGGAAAGGGAATATAGTGTATACACATGGATAAGAAGGACTTACTCTCACAGCTAAGGCAAAAATGCACTTCCTGCAGAACCATGGGGGCAGGTCAGCTGAGCTCTCCACTGGGGGCAAGTGGCAGAGCTGGTGATAGCCTGAAGATGCAAGGCAAGCATGTGGAAGAATGGAGGACAAATATTAGCACAAAAAAAAAATCTACTCATACCCAATCAGATGTGTAAATATGAACAGCAGAGCTAAAGTCGACACTAATCCTTGAGACTTCAGAGAGCCACTTCTGCGTCCCCAGCGAGTCATTAATGTAGTGCAGTCTTACCGAACCCCCTTAGTCATCAAAGACACCCAGAATAGTTCTCCATTTACTTTGTAGATCCTATGGCATTTATAATGCAAATTGCACCACATTTTCCACTCCATTCTTTTAAAATACATTATCACAAGTACATGCTAATCAGTTGTATCCACACAGGCAGAAGAGTTCCCCAGCAATTACATCATGCAAGAAGTCATAGCAACAATTATATCACTAGATTTCTACATTTTCTGAAGACTATGTGAGTGCTGCATGATCATGCAGAAGTAACTAGAGACGTAACTAGCATAGACATTGAAAATTAAGATCGCCAAACTGCAATATTTGATTTGATTTGATCACCCCCACCACCCCCCACCCAAAGATTTGGCCAATCAAATCAAAGTGCCGGGCTTTACTGTTCACAGAAGCTAAACGTAAATTGTAAACCGTTTCATGATAGAAATGTTGAATAACCAAAAGTAATATTGAGTGATGCAAACTACTAAACTTTTCTTTTCTTTTTTTTAAATATAGCATCATTTTTGTGATGTAAAAAAAATAAAAAATAAAATAGTTTGGTCCCCTCAGAGTTAAATGGTTACAGCCTTGGTCACCACTACCATTTTAAGTTGTTGTGGGTGGTTGCCAGGATGTGGCTGTGTAGTTAGTTTTTGGGTGTATGCTAGGTGGTTGACCAACTGAATAACCATCAGCCACCCTGCCATCCCATCCAAATCTACATAAAATATTAACTTACAGTACGGTCCCACTTTATATTAAGTGGCTTTAAGTATTATGTACTTACATCGAAAAATAAGTACAATGTACTTATTGTGTGGATGCTGTATTGTAAAACACTTTTGCTGCTGTTGAGGAGTGACAAGAGAAGGTTAGAGACAGGTGTGGTATGAGTAGGTTTAAGGGTGGGTTAAGGTGTAAGGAAAGGGTTAACAGTGTAATTACAAATGTAATTGCATACATTAATTACAGCTGTAATTACATGCTGATATTTTTTAAATATAAGTACAATGTAAAAACATGTATGTACACAATAAGTCTATTGTATCAAATGATTAATTTCAATGTAGGTACATAGTACTTAAAGCCACTTAATATAAAGTGGGACCGATAATAACAACAAAAATAACCAACAAAATCCATCAGCCACACAGCAATCCCACAAAATAATAATAATGATAATAATCATCATCATAACCAAGCGTACCACACGAGTCCTGAAAAGTGAAGCCAAAGCGCCTCAATCGCCTCCAGGTGGCTTGTTGCAGTATTGGTCATAAACCCCGCCCTCTCCAAGTAATGATGCGAGACAAACTAAACAATCAAATTACACTTCAAATTATTTTTTTACAAAGATGGTCATTTTTGCCAGTTTTTATCACGCTGATGTTAGTTCAAGTTAGTTATTTGATGCTATAAAAACGGGGGTATGACCTCATGATTGACAGGAGGAGGAGTTTGGAGCTTTAACTTTAATTAATTCCATAACTGCTTATTTCACACAGACATAAGTTGTTCTGCAGTAAACTGAATTAACCGATTCTGCAGGAGTGAGGGCGGGACCTTGATATCACGGCTCCACCTCGCGCTCACTACTGTGCAGATTTGGGCTCCAAGTTCACTACTGCGCAGACTCCAGACTCCATATTGGGACACTGGCGGCTTCACTTACTACAATGGAAGAGAGTGAAGGTGCGTCGTCCATCTTTTTTTAACAGTCTATGATCACAACTAGTCATAATAAAGTTGTGATGTTTTCTAGAAAGAGAAGGAATTTAGATTTAAATTTGTATATCTGCTAAAGGTCAACTTTTAGGTGTAAGTAATATATGAATGACCTCAAAAACTCAAATCCCAAATCCCAAGTACGATGAGTAATAACAATACTGATGCTTCTCTTTCCAAATGCCACTAATAACTAGAGCTGCCCCTATTAGTCGACTAAACGTTAGTACAACAAGAAGAGGCTTATTATTCGGTTAGTCGCAGGGGGAAAAAAAACTCCACAGGAAGTGGCGAAGCCATGCAGTCTGTGAGGGACAAACCATTAAAGGCGGGTCCTTGTGGTAATGTGCGTCAGGCAGGAAATCCAAACGTTCGCCTATCATCTATCGACCTCAAATATGGCTTGTCATTTGAAACATGCAAGTAGTAGCAACTTTACATGGCTGCTCGCTCTAGAGTTAACCTAAATAAATGAGCGCTATTATTAGGCGCATATCCAAGTGTTTGTGTGGAGTGTGGAAGCAAAAGTATAGCGCTTACTGCACGACATGGAGGCGCCGGAGTTACGGTTTAACTGGTGATCAAAGTTAAGTTGCGACAGCATCATGTAGTGAAAAGGTTTAATTGTAATGGACGTATTGCACAGGCTTTCAGAATTGACAAATATGCGGTTAAGCGCTCACATCTGGCGTCACAACTTAAACCGGTCACCAGTTAAACCGTAACATTGTATGTAACTTGCATTGTTTCCTGATAACAGCGGAAACAACTTAAAATACTTCATTTTGGTCACGTAAGCAATACATCATTCGAAACTGTAAAGGGTCTACAAAAATTAACCAAAATTCATGGTACTTTCCTCACAGACATGAGAAATATATCTATAGAAAGCTTGAAATGCCAATTTGAAAACATTTTGCAGTTGAAAATAATCTCTGCTTATGTAATCCGTATCAAAGGTGCATTTCTCTCTAAAGGCGAGTCCACTAGACTGTGGAAATGGCGAGTCAGCATCGTCAACTTCATCTTTGCAGCCGACACTGACACAGAAAACACTAGTTTATTAATTAACAATTAAAATGTCTCCTTGCTATTTTTTCCGACAAATTCATAATCAATACTTTTGGCGGTGCTTTGCAAGCTTTATGTGTGCGCTTGAGTGCAGAATAGGCTTTATTCCACCCACAGTATATTTAAGTAATTAAATTAATATAAACGTGCGATTAGTCGACAAATGGCTTGAATGAACGTCTAATAGTCAAATAGAAAAATCTTTAGTGAAGGCCAGCCCTACTAATAACTTTTATTGTTTTTACTTTTTTGACATTTTATTGTAAAATAAGTTTTTTTGAGTCAACAGTTCTTCAACATGAATCTTTACTTTTTAAAACCAGTGGGGCTCGACAGCCTTAGTCAACGGGTTGGCGCGTATGGTTGGGTTGCGGAGAGATTGTGAGATTGTGGTTAGGTCTCAGCAGCAGGAGGGACGTAGAGGTCAGTAAGCTGGGCTGAGTTGAGTGGGGGACGGAGGGGGGTGATTTTGGGACGCAAGAGTCACTGTCTTCATGTTTTGTCTTTTACGCCTGTGTTATGGAAATCATCATTATGAACAGCAGCTACGCTAATTATTTTCCCTTTGCTTTTCTGCTGTTATCTCGGGACGCGAGTCCCGAGAAAATGGCGTTCGTCAGCTCCAGTTTGTATCCAGCCTCTCACGGAGACTTCAGATGCTCCAATCACAAAGCCTATGAAGTGACGACTCAACACGGGCGATATGGACTCTCTATGGTGGACGGCACTGATCCTCAACAACTCGTCTTAAGACCGGCGTGCATACTTGGACTTCCAAAAAATACTCTAAATGTTCCGATCCAATCTGACTTGTAATGCTGCCCGAATCATGCACTGTTCCTTCGTTGGCCAGAGGAGAACTGGCCCCCCGACTGAGTCTGGTTTCTCCCAAGGTTTTTTTCTCCATTCTGTCAGCGGATGGAGTTTTGGTTCCTTGCCACTGTTGCCTTGGCTTTTGGCTTGCTTAGTTGGGGACATTTAACATTTAATATTCAATAATATTATTGATCTGCCTTACTTAAGGTGGACGTTGACGCAATTTCTTTTAGAAACAGACTTTGTTATATTGTTATATTGTTTTTGTTATATTGTTTTCATGTTATCACTGTGAAGCGCTTTGATACAATCTGTATTGTAAAAAGCGCTATATAAATAAAGGTGACTTGACTTGACTTGACTTAAAAGCAAAAACAAGTTTTTTTCCTCTGATATATCCAGGTTTTATGTGCTACGTGAAGAGCTAGGTCTGCCTCACTCACCTATTCCACACTTCCCGCAGATAAGGATTTCATTACCAGGAACTAGAGACATGTCAGAACACACTGAGCATTTTGGTTCTTCCCCAGGGACACCAGCTGTGTGAGAGAGCGAGAGAATAAAGCTTGTTACTTCGTCACAAAGCGCTAATACCATAGCGTCACACAGACATCTCACAGGACACAATGACATATCAAACAATATATCTGCTTTCTAGCTTGCTGATGAATATTGTTGCTTCTTTAAAAAGCTAACGATTTAAAAACCCCAGGTTTGTACAATGCATTTCCACCCAGTCCTCTCACCATGCTGTATGTCTTTCCAAAGCACCCAGAACTTGGAGTTGTCTTCAAACGTCACAAAGCAACTCTGTTTTGAGGTGCTCACCTATAGGGAAATGGAACGAGAAACGTTTGTGTTGTGAAATGCGAACATAAGACTGTAAAAAAAAAACATAAATATGTCTTCGCCAAATGAATTATTCATGATTAAGAGCATGTGCTATCAGGTCATGAACATCTCTTGCATGTTTCCTCCAGGGACCCAGCAATTCATTTTTGTCCTCAGAAGGGAACATTGATTTTTGGGAATTTCACATGGCAGTTTTATAAATCTGGTGTATCTTAAAGTTGACATCCTGGGCTTTCAAAGCACAGTATGATTTCCTTTTTCATTTCTTTTACACATGTCCTTTGTAAGGTACATCAGGACTTTGAGAATTTATTTTCACCTTGAACAGGATTAAATATCACAAAAATGCTCTTATCCTATTTTTCCATTGGAAGTTGCCACTCAAATCACGTACATAATGACATTTTTCTATACATTTACACAAATTATGAAATAAATCAGAAAGCAAATATTATATACATAAATGTTGGTAAAAACCAGTTTCGAGACTATGTCTGATTTATCTGTTTAAATTGATATTTAGAAAAAAAAATTAATCGTATGTTTTTAATGCTCCAAGTAGTATCACAACTCAATTCCAACACGTTTTATTGCTGTGTCCCAGGAGGATATACAGTGTGTGCAATAAAACAGATTCAGTTCAGGTTTATATAGACCCCCAGAGCATCAGCGACTCACTCTCTGGATTTTGCCCAGGTAGTAAAGGCCGTCAGACCAGCGGCACAGGACGTACTGGCCCACGGTCAAGTTGGTCTCTTGGTCACTGCAGGGTTTCTCTTTCTTGGGAAGCAGGTGCTTGGGTTCTAGAGGTTCCGACCCGACAGTCAGATATCCGTCCCGACAGGCCGATTCCAACATGCTGACTGTAGAAACACCTACACTTCCTGTGGGTCAGTGGTAAAATGCAAAGAAAAAACACACACAATGATTACATCAGGTTTATCACATGTGATGTTTCCCAGAGATGACAAAAATGGAAATACTTGCATCATATTGCATATAAACATAATCTATTGGAATTTTTAAGAGTATTTTTCGATGTAAAAATGATTTAAATATGGAAACCTTAGTGACCAGTGGTCTGGTCACTTATCTCTATAAAAACTCCAGAAGAAACCAAGATAAACACTGACATAATAAGGGGGTTTGCCCAGTTCAGTTGCATTTATGAAAAAACACCCAGAAAAGGCTCTTGTCAAAGATGTCTATTTCTGTGCCAGTTGTTTTACAATCTATATTCACCCCAAACGTATTTATTTACAGATGGAAAAAGGGGGTTTAAGGATTTATATGTACAATTAATCAATAAGCTTAAATGCAGAGCACTATTGGTCTAAATGCACAGCACATCTCGCATAATTAAAGCTTAGAAAAAGGACAGTCATCTAGGTTTAGATTTCTCCACTCACTGCTGTGATTTTAAAAAGAGGATCATGCACTAGATTATTTGTTTTACACAGCCTCTTTAATAATTACCAACCAGAAATGTGTCCTTTTAACTGATATTATAATTTATATTAATATGAGTTTCATAATATCCATTCAATGACTACAGCACGTGCACATTTTTTAAAAACGTCATTTGCCAACAATTTACAGACTACAACAACCACAAGGACGAGTTTACATGCTTCTATAGTCCTTATATAGTAACTTATACTTACAAAAAAAGTGTTTCAAAATGTCAAATATGTTTTTTTGTAAAACAAAAGTAATGCCAAACAAATACCTTATTTGACGCATAAATGCCATTTTAAAAACCCATAGGAAATTCCCGGGGAAACCAATAGCTTGGAAATACAAATTCTCTTCTGGGTTTTTGTGCTACAAACTGAACAACTCACTTGACAATACATATAGTTGATAAAACGTATATACAGAAGTTGACAAAATGGATGAATCAATAAATACCTTCTTTGTTGCAATCAATACTGTGGGTGAAAAACACTTACTAGTAGTGTTATCCAAACAAATGTATAAAAACCGAACACATTAAACCCATTTTTGTTATTTAAAATGAATTATATTAAGTAATTTATATATTACATCTAATTAATTGTATAACAAACATTATTATATTAAATATTAAGTATTTTATTGATCTATTAATTTGAAGACGTTTATAGCTTTAAATGTTTTGCAGGTTCAGCAAAGTTAAGCATTTTCAAAACCCCCTGGTTAGGAATCAAACTCAAAATGTGCAAGTATGTAGCCTACAGTACAGCAGGTAAGTTAAGTGTACTGAATGTACTCGATGGCTTTGACAACCTGCAGGAATTCTGTAGAACTGCAAATAGATTCGTCCAACCACAACTGTGCACATGGGGAATATTGCCTGACTCAGTCTCAACCCTGATGAGTTAAAAAGGCAGCAGAGAAACTGAGCTGGTTGACTCATCGTCAGGATGTGATCTTCAGACTTACTGATCTCGGCCAGTTTTCTTCTACTTCTAATATTCAAATCAATCGAAACCAGCCGACCAAGAATCACACAATCTGCAACCGTGCTGTAACTGTAAGAATAAAACATGCATGCCTTTTCTCTGCGTGACAGAAAGCTATTGCATCAACTTTAAAAGCCTGCTTAAAAAGAAAGTCACTTAACAGCCATGCCGACTTCTAAAAAGTCTATTAGTTCAGTTGCGTATATAAATCATAGCCAACTACGAATCTTTGCACTGACTCCCTCCCCATTTGAAGACATGCAACATCATCAGTGCATGCTGGAAAACTTGCGCACTGCTAAAACTTCTCTCGGGGACTCAGACAAGTTGTCATGCTGGCTGTAATCAAACACAACATGCACAAAAACACAGTATTACTCTTTCATATGCATGAATAAGGTCGTCAGAGCACTACAGCTGTGACTGTTACGCACTAATGCTGCAGGTTTTGAATCGGGTCACATTCAAACACATCTCGCGCTGAGATTACCGCTTTGATTTCTCTCCAGTCCCGCGGGTAAAACGCGCCAAAAAGTGCAGATAGTCCTCCTCTGGCAGCCCGATGTCCCATTCGCGATGTTTAAGGGAGTTTCTGGTGTTTTTACAGCACAAGCGGCGCAGAAATGCAGTCAGTGCACGTCGCCATTTTTTCACCTTTTCCCGCGAAGCTTTTACGTTTTGCTTATGTAATTAACATAACCCGATCATCATCATCATCATCATCCGCGTACAGGAAGTACAGCAGCGGTCTCGAGGAGGGGCTACAGAAGCTCTGATCCAATGACTAAATAAAGACATTACAAAAATGCTCTAATATTACAACATGATAGATAGACAGATAGATAGATAGATAGATAGATAGATAGATAGATAGATAGATAGATAGATAGATAGATAGATAGATAGATAGATAGATAGATAGATAGATAGATAGATAGATAGATAAAATTATGATTATATAAAGTTATATAGATAGATATCATGTATGTTTATTTTTATGTTTTTAAAATATATAAAAAAGTATAGTTATATAAAGTTATATAGATGGATGGATAGATGGCAGATAGATGTTCAATTATAGCTTTATGAAGTTATAGATAGATATCATGTATTTTTATATTAGATTTTAAAATATATTAAAATTATAGTTATGTTAGGTTCATATAAAGTTATACAGACAGACAAACCTGCATAATTGACATTTTGAGCATGATATGTTTGTTAATATAATTTATGAAAGTTATTAAAACGTGTAATAGTTTTATTTTTGATGAGTGGATGTGAGAGATGTGTCAGAGAGAGTGAGTTGTCTGTCAGCATAAATGCCCTTGGCATTAGGTTTGCTGGCAGTGCAAGTGCAACTGTCACACTGCAGTTACATTTTTAACACATGGCTTGTATTTGCTGGCATAACAGTAGTATTCTTAGATTTCTGTGAAATTCGGACATTGTGATTCAGGCAGACATCACAGGGTCACGGTGAGCTGACTAAATGAATTTTTTTGACGGAAAAACAAAACTAAGAATGCTAACTCGGGGGCTGCTGAATACCTAGAGAGAGTTTATTGATGCAGTGTTGATTTGTACATATGGTGTCGAACCCTTCTCAAGTGCATCACTTTGAGAAACCACCTGTTCTTTTCTTTGATTTTGTGAACAATTGATTGTTTCGTTTCTCTCCAAAGTTGGGTTCTAATAGTTACTTTCAGGACTTTTTAAAACTGCTTACCAGGACGAGGTTGATTTTTTTGCACACATTCCTGTAAGTGTTAACATGAAGGTAAAGTGTTGAAGAATGAAAAAAAAAATGGCTACAGCGACAAATATAACAATTTTATAGAATCTTTCAGGTAAAAACGAGGTGATTTTGCACAGTAGCCACTGCATTTGGTGAGAAAAATGGATCTTCATAGTGAAAACACATTAAACAAATGAGTCTGATTCATCTTTTCATGTGCTAATCTGATACTAACCTATATTTGATAAGGATGCATGCTACACAAGTTTGAATGACAAAGTGTTGATGCTTATCAAAATGAAATACATAGAAGTACAGTAACCAGAATGATACCCTGATTGGTCCCACTTTATATTAAGTGGCTTTAAGTACCTACATTGAAATTAATAATTTGATACAATGGACTTATTGTGTACATACATGTTTACATTGTACTTATTTTGAAAATACCTGCATGTAATTACAGCTGTAATTTATTTATGTAATTACATTTGTAATTACACAGTTGACCCTTCCCTTACACCTTAACCCAACCCTTACACCACTCCTGTCCCTAACCTTACCCGTATCACTCCTCAACAGCAGCAAAAGTGTTTTACAATACAACATCCACACAATACGTACATTGTACTTATTTTTCGATGTAAGTACATACTTAAAGCCACTTAATATAAAGTGGGACCTAATGGGTCTGCACCAACCAAATCAAGGACTTTTATTCAGGGTTATTAGGACACCAAGTTTGTAACGAGTATGTAACGAGTCAATAAATCAATCCTTCTTCCAAAACACGTTTTTGTCTTACACTATTCACTATGGTATTATACGTGTTTAAATTTTAGACCTCTCGGGATGGTTTTCATCATGGTAAATAGAGAAAAGGCTCCAACTACTTTAATGCATGTATGATGTGAAGTGACATAAGTTAGTTGAGCAACAAGCGAAAAAGGTTGACATGGAGCAGCTAAATCTCAAACCTCTGGGGAATCACTCATTTTAAACAAACGCCGAACAGAGGAGAGTCTGCTGGCAAAAAAAGAGAACGCGACAGAGCTCGTAACAAGAACCAACATTAGCTTCGCCCACATTAGATGGCGAGAAATGAGGGATTTAAAAAGTTGTAAAAGCGATTGCGGAGATGGCGTTTTTATTACTCAACAGGTGGGTAAGAGATTTTATTGAACAGATAAATTGCCTTATGTATCTCTGCAACAGAGTTCATTAAAGCATTATTGTGAAGGGTCATTTCATCCGCAGTCATGCAGAGCCACAAAATGTGCATGCAGTGATGTTTTCAACCGCTAGAGGGCCAAATGATACCTTTAACTGAAACTAACTTCATTTCAGTTAGTTTGCCAAGACATTTCACATTTTCATTTTTTACTTGATGCAGTAAAATAGCTAAAACTGGAATACATATGAATAAAAACTATGTAGACATTTAAAAATACATATATTAAAAATACAAAAAACAACAAAATAATTTTAGCATAGGCCTACTGACGGCAATGTTGTCAAAACGATCCCGTCAACACAGATCCGAGAAAAATCTACTATAGACTGAACAGTAATATGCCCGCGCATAACGTCAGTTTTCACAAATTCGCAGTTTTGTAGTTTACACGGAGACAATAAATAACTATAACGATATAGTTATTTAAATTGGTCTAAATATAGAATAGCAGAGTCCAGACCACAACTATAGACCTTATGCAGCAGAGAAACGAGGTCGCCGCCATCTTTAGAATATTGTCTTTGAACTTCCGTTTTTGCGGTCGCTCTGTATATTTCTATGGCATCGAAGTTGATTTACTTATTGTAGAGTTAACGAAAGTTATCATGAGCATTGTAATGTTTATGATAAGCATTGTAAAGCATGTCTTAACAAATGGACCTTGGGAATTTTTTTTTACGAGCCGTTCATTCATAACTACGCAAGATCGCTGTGAAAATACAGACCGGAAGTCAAAAGACAATGAGCTCAGCGCGGAAAAGGGGCGTGGCTACATAAGGTCTGTAACGATAACGGCACAAAGAAATGATATCGTTGGAATCACTTACATCATTTTTTTTTCTCCAACTGATGAATGATAAAAACATTGACAGCTCAGAATCCATCCTGCTTTAAAGAGCTGGAGCACTTACAGCAGTGCGTGCTTAGAATTTCACAACGATATCGTGAGTTGGTGTGGACACTAATCATTATAGTTATTGTTATATCGCTATAGTTCTTGCACTTTGAAACCCATTTTCAAAAGTTTTCAGGCCCCCAAAACCCTGTTGTTGTGTAAATCAACGGCCAAATCACATAAAAAAATTTCCGGTTTTAGTTGAAAACAGTGTTGTCAATGCCGCCTAAAATTAGAATGAAAACAGAAAATATAAAAATGAAAACTAATAATAGTATCTGAATGATACTAAAATAACACTTGATTTTATAATAGCAAGAAATTAAATGTTAAATGCCAATAATATTGTTTGAAATTCTGCATGCATGCAGATAAAACACCATAAGTACATTCAAATCATAAGGGCCGTTTACACTACACCGTTTTCGACTAAAAACGGAAAACATTTTATGCGTTTCGGCTGTTCATTTACACGACAACAGCTTTTTGGGTCCTGAAAACGCAAACTTTTGAAAACGTGTTTCAAAAAAGTGCAGGTTTTTAAAAACAATACTGTTAAAATCTCCATATAACCTACAAAAACGTGAATTTGTGAAAACAGTGACGTCTCGCGCATGCAAATTACATGTTCAGTCTATATGCGCATAGAGTTTCTTTACAAAGTGACATCGCTAACTACTGGCCTGGCATGAATAATACAGCGTTTTTAAATATCCGTGTGAACGGGGATCATTTTGACAACGTTGTCGTCCGCATTCGAAAAATGCAAAGGAAAAACTTTTCCTTTTTAGTACATCATTGTTGTGTAAACGTACCCATATTTTATCTACAATGTTGAGACATGTGCCATGCAGATAAACTTTGCTACGAGGAAACACAAAAACAAGATATCAAACAAATGTTATTTATTACAACATATGCAATATGAAACCTGTCAATATGATATTCAAAATCAAGAAGAGTTCATTCCATAATAAATAAAAAAAGAAAAATATCCAAAATAACACAAAAAAGAATCACTGTTTTAAAGATTTAAAACTACTCTTTTATCCATGTACCAAAACAACCAAAATGCAACAGAGTTCATGAATATTTCTGGGTTTGTCGTTTCTCTGCACTCCATATTCATTTGATCCAAATCCTCTCCGAGATCCACAATTTTTATGCTCCCTAAGGTCTCCGGTCCTCCATAACAGCCAGGCCTTCATGGTTCAGGAGGAGATGTCCACCACACACTTGATATAGATTGTGTCATCCTTGCAGTAGGCGTGCTTAGGCGACCTCAATTTCCCCAGAGGGAAGAAGAGGGGGCACCCGCTGGCCACATTCATCTCTGAGACGGGCCGGTGGAAAGAGGCAGAGGAGAGGTCGGGGCGGAAAGCGTCGATGACGTGCTCCCTCTGGTTCTGATCTATGAAAAAGAACGTTACCTGCCAGGTACAAGCAGGAGAAGTCAGTGGAAGGTCATGGAAAATGCTGATGCCACATGATTGAGGAACCAAAGCAGAAGCCACTATCAAAGGGGTCATATCATACATTATTTCATTCTTTGTCCTGAGGTGCACTTAGTAAGGTTTTTTGCACCATAAACAGTTTCATTTCATTTTTCACGACCTTATTCCACTCTCTCTTATTACCCTTTAAAAAATTTCAGGCCATTAAAAATGTTATCTTCAATGTGAAACTTTGAACTGCCCCATCATTCAATAGCAGAATAAGCAATCTATTCTACAATGTGCTGTCAAACTGGTAAAATTATAATAATAATTTGACCCAAAAAGTATTACCTATAAACCAGAATAAAAGTATAAATATATTAGTGCTGGGCAACGATTAAAAAATTTAATCGCGATTAATCGCATGATTTTCTTGCGATTAATCGCATTGTTACGCGCAAAATTGAATAATGAATTCTAGTAGTGTATTGCGCACTTTTGATTTAAATGTACTGGTACAAAAGTGCAATAACATGTGGTTTGCAAAAACTTTAAACAAATAAGGTGCTTTTATACCAGCAGTATTCCCTTTACACAGTATCAATAAAATATTTCTTGTAAATCTCAACTTAAACATTAATGTAATCAAATCAAATATTTAAACAAAGCTATTTACCACTGCCAGGGCATTACCTTTTATATAGCTTGTTAAAACGAGTCCAGTTTTCTTGTTTTTTTTTTTTCTGAACAGGTATCTTGTATCAGGGAGCAGCAGAAACAGTCTATGTAGTCAAAGGGTCATGATCACTACTACAGATATAAGTCGACCAACGTTACTTCTCTGATAGCAGCTTAGGTTTGGTCATGGCATGCCATGGTTTCCCACGTAAGATTACATTAAACAGAGGTAAAGCCCAATTTATACTTCTGCGTCGAACTCACGCCGTAGCTGTGTAGCGCGCGTACCCTGACGTGCATCTCTCCAAAAATGTAACGTCAATTCTACGCGTACCGCAAGCGCTGTGATTGCTAGAACCGCTCCCCGGGTTTCACACTCTCCCTCTGCATGTGTAATTGCGCGTCAATGCGGACAACGACGCAGATATATAAATGAAAACCAACGCGTTGTCTATAGCGTAGAGGCTCCGGCGTAAGTCCGACGCAGAAGTATAAATCAGCCTAGAGTGAGGTGAAGTGGTCGAGCACAGGTGCAGCGACAAGCGGGTGCGTTCCTGTGAAACTGTTGCAGTCATGCTCGCCTCACGCACGCGCCCGCGCGTTGCCGAAGTTGAATTGTCTAACTTTTTTGTACACGACGCGCAGCACAAATCATTGGAAGAGAGACTGATCCTTGGCTCGCTGTTTGTGAGTTTCCAGAATCTAAATAGTTATCAGGACATCAACAGGAGGGAATTCACATGGCAGAGCATCCCCGCTAAACTAAACGCAGGCCTATCAGGTAAAGTTATGTATAATTTTAATTTAAGTTAAAAAGGCTACAGCTGCGTAGCGCACAGAAGCCGGTGCCATGGTTACTATCATCGCCTGTCATTCACTCGCGGAGCGCTGTCTCCCTTTCTGTTCACCTGAGAGAACCTGCCAAAGCCTCTCCACTGCTTGTTTGGGTGGGTTATTTGCTGGCTGACCAACATCCCACCCCTCCTGTGATCATGGTTTGACTGTAGGCCTATGTGTATTCAGAGGCAGTGAGCAACGGACTTTCAAAATAATAAAAAAAAACCTCTGCGTTAACGCGCGATAAAAAAATTGTCGCCATTAATTAATAAATGCGTTAACGCGATAATAACGCGTTAACTTGCCCAGCACTAAAATATATATAACATAAATAAGTAAAGTGGCAGTGATGCACGTCTTCGGTGTACTAAACATGCACACATGAGATGTTAATGCACTTCAGTGCTCACAGTGTTCATCATAATGATGCTCATTTTACAATTACAATCACTACAAAACAGAAGAAGGACAGTTCAATATGCGAACAGCATTTTAATAGATTTGTTTGGCCTGGGACTTATGGACAGTTATTTTAGTATTCATTATATACTGTATACAGTACTGCGCAAAAGTCTAAGGCACGTTGGGATTTTCACCAGAAAAACATGGTTGTTGTTGTGTGTCAGTTGGAAATATCAGTTTACATAAAAACATTCCTTTTGCCATTTATTGTAATAATCCAGTGAGATTTTTGTTTACACAAGGAGTCTGACAGCAGCCGGCACGATCCACACTGAGATCTCATCTCCCCATCATCGAGTCCATCTGGGATTACGTGAAGAAATGGATTTTAGAGACGTTGCCACAGTACTTCTGGATTTAGTCTGTCTCAATTTCTTCTTTCTTCATGTAATCCCAGACAGCTGATGATGGTGAGATCAGATCTCCGTGTGGATTTGTCTGTTGTCAGACTCCTTGTGCATACAGAAATCACACTGGATTATTACAATTAATGAGAAAAGGAATGTTTGGAAATGACACACTACAGCAAAAGATGTGAATAACTGGCTTAAACCATTTTTTGGGGGGTGAAAATACTAACGTTCCTAAGACTTTTGTACAGTACTGTATGTGGCAAGCAGGGCGGGGCCGAGAGCCGTGGGAACGGAGCGCTAATGGACATCACCTGCGCCACACCGCTCTCTAGTCTCACCGAGGAGCTCCGGAGGGATAAAAGCAGGACTGACGACAGTGCAGGATGAGAGAGGACCTGGCCTGGACTTTATGTTGTGTTTTATTATGTATGCAGCAGCCGTTTGATGTTTATTGAATGATTAAACTTTACATTGATCACTCACCGGTTCCCGCCTCCTTCTTCCCTGAACTTTACATTTTGTAACAATATACTATTATAGTATTTATTATATGTGAAATTTTTTCCGATTTTTTTTTGTTATGTGATTTTGTCATATTTTTATTTCCGTTTTAGTCATTTTAGTATTTCAACTTACACTTATTTTATTTCTAAGTCTACTGTTTAATATTTATATATTTATTTCAGCTTTATTTCAATGAGCAAAAACAACTTTTAATAGTTTAATTTTAGCTAACGATAACAACGCTGCTTTTGGATCTAGATAAAAAAGCTATTATAATCTAAAAGATAATCTAGGTAATATTTTTTGTTAGTTTTGTTTTTTGTACTAAAAATAAAATAAAAATGCCAACTATTAAAATGAATGCAGGGACTGGTTCAATTTGGATTCATTCTTGTAAACTAAGTGATCGAATTATTATTATTTTTTCTAAAGTGTGGTACACTTAAAACTAACCAGCAATGAGCAAAATATGTATACTAATGTATGAATTCAGCATAAACAACACATAAGTGCATTAAGCGATTGATTAATTCATTGATTGACAGCTTGATTATAGCGGTTTACCTTGTGTCTGAACGGCCATGAGAGAATGGGGTCATATTCTCCTTTCATTATAACAAAGAAAAGAGAGATGTGCGTTCCCTTTCCAACCCCATCTCCGTTCAAATAGAGGCGCATGCACACTTTAAATCCATACCTGGCGGTGTAGAAAGCTGAAAAACAAAGCATTGTCATTCTTATGTGAAGCGTGATGGGCTTTAGTTAAAACTCTTAAAAATAGCAGCAGATAACCAGAGAGCTTCTTTCATCTCAAAAATCAAACGTGTGGCTTCCTTTTGCTGACTGTTGTATTGGCGGAACAGTTATTCTGATATCCTATTCTGTAATGACGTGAAAGAAAACAAGTCAATTAAATTACCTTCAGTTGTTCTCTTTCAGTCTTTCTCTTTCTCAGTCTTCCTGTCTATTACAGTTGTGTTCACACAGACACATGCCCACTGGGCAAACAACCCCATTTCAGTCTTTATAACTGCTCCACATTTGCTTTTTTTTGCTTTCCCTTTCGCAGGTACCAACTCAATTTTTAGTACTGGTCTGAAGAATGAGCATTGATTCTACCTCAATACACGATAACAACTAACATTCATTCAACGCAGCTCTCCTGATGAGTCCAGTCTGATGCATTAAAGTATTCAGTGCTGGCAAAACTGTTTTGCTTCGGAGCCTGTGATTGTCAATAATATATATCGATTATGTCAACTGAAACTGCAAATGGAACATGCTTGGGAAAATAAGGCCCAGGGGAAGATTTTTCTCAAGCCCAATGTAGATGCAGGCCTGTTCCTTGCGTTATCTATCAGATGATTTGGAATATGATGCAGAGCTCATATGGACAACCCAAACCAACAGTCACCATCTACCTTCATTATATAAAAGAGTGTCGTCCTAATCCCTGAACAAATCGTTCCTTTAATTAAACCAAAAACATACAGCGTTACCAGTGTAGTCAGATTCATAAACAAATGATTTTTGAGCCAATTCTTTTGATGAATCACTTAAAAAACTCACTAACTCAGACCATTACCATTTGAATCAGTCTTATGTACCTATCGCTTAATGAACTCACTGAATGGTGAGTGGTTACTGAAATAAATAAATAATATATATATAATATATACCGGTATATAAAATATTATTGATATAATATATTAAACTGTATAAAAAAATCTTTTAAAAGATGTGTATATATATAATTTTGTATATATTATATAAATAATATACATTTAGTAATATATATATATATACATAATATTAAATTTATATTATTTATATAAAAGAACACACAAAAGAAGAAATGAATACAAAAAATGTATTATTATATTATTTATATTATACATAGAAATGTATACAAAATGTATACAAAATCATATAAAAGATGTATATATATATATATATATATATATAAAAATTTTTATATTTTTTATATATTATATAAATAATATATTATTTAGTATACATAATATTAAATATATATGTATATAAATTAATACAGATTTCCCAATTCAAGTTGATTTTGATTAAAAGCAATGTGTCTCTATAAAATATATATATATATATATATATATATATATATATATATATATATATATATATATATATATATATATATATATATACAGTATATAATTTTGTATATATTTGTATATATTTTATAAATAATATACATTTAGTAATATATATACATAATATTAAATATATATTATTTATATAAAAGAACACACAAAAGAAATAATATTTTATAAATATATTATTTATATTATATATAGAAATGTAAACAAAATTTATACAAATATATATATATATATATATATAATTTTTTTATATATTATATAAATAATATACATTTAGTATTATATATACATAATATTAAATATATATTTATATAAATAAATACAGATTTCCCAATTCAAGTTGATTTTGATTCAAAGCTATATATAGCTTTTGATTCAAAGCACTGTGTCTCTATACAATATGTATATATATACAGTATATAATTTTGTATATATTATATAAATAATATACGTTTAGTAATATATATATACATAATATTAAATATATATTATTTATATAAAAGAACACACAAAAGAAATAATATTTAATAAATATATTATTTATATTATATATAGAAATGTATACAAAATTTATACAAAATCATATAAAATATGTATATATATATATATAAATATATAAAATTTTGTATATTTTTTATATATTATATAATAAATATATATTTAGTATTATATATACATAATATTAAATATATATTTATATAAATTAATACAGATTTCCCAATTCAAGTTGATTTTGATTCAAAGCTATATATAGCTTTTGATTCAAAGCAATGTGTCTCTATACAATATGTATATATATATATATATATATATATCTTTGAATCAAAATCTGTATTAATTTTTACTTCTTTTGTGTGTTCCACAGAAGAAAGTAAGTCATACAGTACGTATCTGTCAATAAAGATGATGTTTATTCTTGGATGAACTCTCCCATTAAGAGCAGTGCAGGAGACATGTGCTTTGGTACCTGGCGAGTACTGACTGATCATCACGCCGCTGGCAGCCTCTCTCTGACTCTGGCTAACTTCACACAACCGCCAGAGGAAGGTGCCATCATAAGAGACGTCCTGCTGGGCGCTGATACACTGCTGCAATGAACTGATGTGAATGTCTTTCCTGACCAGCCTCTGCACCAGCTCGGCTACCTAAAATGTGATGGAAAACCATTATCATAGATGAATCACACAAAGGAACAGATTGGCTCACTGAAAAAGCATAAAATTAATGTATCATAATGGACCTTCAGAGCTGGTTAAGGTCAGGTGCCTTGTGCGAGACACTTCGAAATATAGAAACAGAACGAGATAGCTGCATCCTATTAGACACATTCTTTTTTTTTTTTTCTCGACTGCACTTGGAGAACTGTTACACAAATCTATTTTCTACCACTCATTCCCCTCTCATCCATACTTCAACTTATCTCTTCATTTTCAGCACTTCGGGAGTGTCATCTCAGCTCCTGCGTGTTGAATAACCCACCCCTCCAGGTCGACAGGCAGAACACAGCCATAATCATTTGTTATGAGCATAGGGACAAATACATTATCATTCAGACCCCCCAAAACGAATACCTTTGTTAGTTTTATGTGACTTCTTATTTAAACCATGAATTATGCGACCCAGAGGCTACAAATAAAAAACACATTACAGGAAACAAATGTTTTCCAAAGATTCCCATATAGTATTTTAGCTCTTTTGTAACACAGACACATTCATTAGCTCCGACCATATTGCAGATTCACAGCATGAGATCAATGCCTAGTTAACTGCAGGACACATCAAAGTAATGCAATCTGTTGTTGCTTTTTACACACAGTGGAAAGGAAGTGCTTTGATTTTGATAATCCAGGATGGAAATAATGTGATATCAGGGTTGTGCACCTTTCAGAAGTGAATTGAATTCCTGACATTTGAAATGAGGTGGCAGGATGCAGAATTGTAATTTGATTTTTAATTTAGATCAAATTAAATTCAGTATGAATTTGCCATAAACATGTTATCATACACACAGCATATGAGGTATTTCCAGAAACATTAGATGTCATTAATGATGTTTAGGGCAAATTGTTTATTGCTTACTATATTTCATTATCAAATTTAGATTTTTTTTTTATTATCTGAAAACAATGTGATGGACATTTTGTGGTGATGTATGACATTTTATGAATTATTTTGATCATGCTGAACTTAGTTTTAAGAAATATACTACAGTTAAAAAGTTTTATTTTGAAAGAAATTAATACTTTTATTCAGCAAGGACGGATTAAATTGTTCACTTAATCGCATAAAAATGTTCACTTAATCTTTAATATTTAGCTACTGCTTTACGATAGAAATGCTACTACAGCCACTGTAATTTCTTGAACAAGAATATGTGGACGTCAGAGCCACTTATGTTTATTTTTGAAATCGTAATGAACAGTTTGCATATTTAGAGAATGTTGGGGTAGGTTTATAAATGATTTACCTTACAAATCTGATGAAATGGCGCACATTGTGTTCCCAGATGAATGTTACAGGCAAGCCAAACTCACAGCATATGCAGAGATGAAGTTTGAGCGCATATAAATGATAAGAGTTCATGTGGAGCAGCATTTACTGTGAACCGAGCCGCTCTGGGACGCACATAACCTACACGCATGTTGTGAATAATTAAAGCGCATATATATTAAACCTGCAGGGTATGTATTTATTTAACTGAATCGCAGCCTTTGTGAATGAACAATAGTACTATGCTATTGTATGGTTTTTAAATGGTTTTGATAAATTGTGCAGCCTTAGAAAACGGTCTAGTAATGCAGATTCTTGTCGGATTTTTGTCTCATGGATTGGATTCCATGGATTTTGTCATACAATCTCTAAAAGTTCCTCAGAAGTTGAAAATCTGCTTTCTTCTTTAAAAAAAAAAAACACCTCATGATAAAAACCTAATGGCATTTTAAAACTGACCACTGTTTACAAAACCATTTAGAACCATTGAATTCCATTTAAAGGTAAAAATGTCTATACAATCAGTGTCATGAAAAATAACTTTTTAAATACTTACTTTGGTTTCTAAGTGCTCAATGATCTGCTGACTGTTGTCATTGTCCCTCTCCAGTGCAACAACACTGAGCTGCGTCTTCTCCACCTCCCTGTTCAAAGCTGAGATGATGTTCTCCATAATCTGCACTCTCTGCTGTATGGCGTCCAGTTGCTGGCCAACAGCGAGTTCAACCTGATCATCGTGGAGGCTGAAGGCCTTATCACTCACTCCTGGATCTCCTCCGTCGGTCTCAATCTCACCATCACTCGGAGAAGCGAGGGATGCACAACAATGTTCAGGCTGAAGAAAATCAGGGATTTCGTGTTGGCCACGGTCAGCTGGGGAACTCAAGGTACGCTGAAGAGCCCTGGTCACATCCAAGAGGAGCTGTAGATGGCCCACATGGCTGCAGGACTCATGTTCTTTTACTTTGTCTGCATAACCCTGCAATAAAGCGTTGCAGCAAAACATTGTATCATTCCACCAATATATACTTCCTCCACACACAAACACTATATAAAAAATATAATCATAAAACTAGATTTTCGTCGGGAAGTAAAATTGGAAATTGGTTTTAGAGAATAGGCAAATGTTTTCTAAGCATATTTATATTTATTTATTGTAAGTTTTTGTTACACTATTGTCAAATTTTGTTTATTTTTTTTAAACATAAATTTAACAAAACTCATACAAAAAAAAAAACACTTTTCAAACTTTTTACTTCTATGATTGAATCCCCAAGTATAATAATCCACTTACATTTACAGCATAGCCTTTTTCAGCAAAATATTAGATTTCTCTATTTTTGCTCATATTAGAGGGTCAATTTAAGCTCAATTTAAAATGTATTTTAAAAAGTACTTTTCACAATAATTATTGTTCCAAATAGCCATCCAACCCAACTGAACATGAAACATTTTTTAAATAAAATTTTGAATTTCTTTTTTTTTGGCAAAATAAAAATAATAATAAAAGATAAAAAAAATTCACTCAAGCTCTTTGTGGACCTCATAGAACCCCCTTGGCCCCTGGGGGTCCCTAGACCACATTTTGACAATTTTCACATTTTCATTCATATATTTTAAATGTGACTTAAACTTACAAAAGTTTCTGCTCAACACAAAATTATATAGAGCATCTTAATTAACATATAAACAGGTACTGTTATTAAAAGACCAACCTTAAAAGAACAACCAACGTCTGAGAAAATGCATGGCTCTTTCTTTTTCGAGCTGCCCGAGTGATTATTCTACAAAAGAAAACAGAAACATATTTTAGAATTGTACATGCAATTTCACAATATTCAGTGATCCACCAAAGCCAGCTGTTCTATACCTTTTGCCGTTTATCTGCCTTAGTCGCCTTCTTATCGCTTGAACTGGGACATACATGCTTCTGTGAAGAAATTAGGAAAGTCACTTTCACTAGCTACAGTGATGAAAGTTCATAAACAATTTTGACTCACAAACTTTCCAAAACATCTTATTAAGACTTTATCTTAATTTGAGGCGAGAAACACATTGCATTTGAAGATATCTTGACTAATGTGTTGCGTTTGAAGCTTGATGTCTTAATTCACTGGCTTTCTGCTTTTTTCCCTCTCCTTTTTATTCCTTTAATCTGTCCCGGAGTGCAGGTCCCGATGGGCGAAATAGAAAAAAAAAAAAACAGTAATATGGGACAGCAGTAAACACTGGAGACGTCTGTGGCTTAAAACCGAGCCATGGGGCTTCAAGCAAGGGCACGCTGACCCAAAACCACTCTAGCAACAACGAACGAGGCAGAACATCTTGCACAATATCGCCTATGTATCATACATATTATTTCCACAAATATATGCTGTATATACTGTAGGTTTAAGCAATGCAACAAGGTGAGAGAATCTATATCAAACAAATCACTGAATAAAGCATTTTCTTGGTCTGTTTTTTTTTTTTAAATTGTTTTCCAGTAAAATATCGAAGCATTGTTAAAACAAGATTATACAGAGCTTCTGAAGGGACATGGTGATAGGGGAAAAAATATGAGATGGGAGGAAAAATATATATTTCAAAACGTTTGCGGTCACTCGCAAACCTTTTGCGTTACACCGAGAAAGTTTGCGTTCCCTCGAAAAACATTTGCGTTCCCCTAAGAAACTTTGTGTTAGCTTGCAAAACTTTTTTTTACAGATCCCTTAAGGGGCATGGTGGTGGAAAAAATGGGAGATGGGAGAAAAAAAAAATTCAAAACGTTTGTGTTCTCCTGAGAAACTTTGCGTTCGTTCGCAAAACTTTTGCATTCCCCTGAGAAACTTTGCGTTTTCTCGCAAAACTTTTGCGTTCCCCTGAGAAACTTTGCGTTCGTTCGCGAAACTTTTGCGTTCCCCTGAGAAACTTTGCGTTCATTTTTCTCAATTTTTTTTCAATCACTATGTTCTTTTAGGAACTTTTTTTTTTAATTTTAGGCATAAATGTAACCAAATGTAGTAAGGTTTATGCTTAAAACAATAAAGCAGTAAAATAAAAACTATTGCCTTAATTCTTAATATGGTACAATTAACTTTGCGTTCGTTCGCAAAACTTTTGCATTCCCCTGAGAAACTTTGGGTTCGTTCGCGAAACTTTTGCATTCCCCTGAGAAACTTTGCGTTTTCTCGCAAAACTTTTGCGTTCCCCTGAGAAACTTTGCGTTCGTTCGCGAAACTTTTGCATTCCCTTGAGAAACTTTGCGTTCGTTCGCAAAACTTTTGCGCTCCCCTGAGAAACTTTGCGTTTGTTCGCGAAACTTTTGCATTCCCCTGAGAAACGTTGCGTTTTCTCGCAAAACTTTTGCGTTCCCCTGAGAAACTTTGCGTTCGTTCGCGAAACTTTTGCGTTCCCCTGAGAAACTTTGCGTTCGTTCGCGAAACTTTTGCGTTCCCCTGAGAAACTTTGCGTTCGTTCGCAAAACTTTTGCATTCCCCTGAGAAACTTTGCGTTTTCTCGCAAAACTTTTGCGTTCCCCTGAGAAACTTTGCGTTCGTTCGCGAAACTTTTGCATTCCCCTGAGAAACTTTGCGTTCATTTTTCTCAATTTTTTTTCAATCACTATGTTCTTTTAGGAACTTTTTTTTTTAATTTTAGGCATAAATCTAACCAAATGTAGTAAGGTTTATGCTTAAAACAATAAAGCAGTAAAATAAAAACTATTGCCTTAATTCTTAATATCGTACAATTATCTTATTCTAAGAATATAAATACATTTATAACAAATTTTCACTGTAGATAAACTAGATCGATTTTTTTGGAGTGTATACAGCCCCAATGATCATTTTCTAAGCTTACCTGGAGTTCTCTCGGTGTCAAGACACCAGCACAAGAGGAACATGTGGTCTTATTGTTGGGACAGCCCCTGTCCAGATGCGTGGCCAGTGTCTTCCTCTGCACCATTATGCCACAGCCAATATTGCAAGGGATCAGAGCATACTCACATTGGCTCTGATGGTCCTGTTAAAGGAGTAATTGAGCATATTAAAGGCATAATTCAACTAAAATGTGAACGTTTATTGAATTTAATGTGAACATGTATGCTTTTTTCTTTGAAAATTATTCATCCAAAAATCTTCATGCTGCTCTTTTGAATACAAGGACAGTTCATGAATATTTCTATTAAAAAAAACACACACACCATAAAACCATAAAAGCACCACTCCGAGAAACATGCCAGTTCAATTTTAGTGAATAATTTTTGGTCTGTTCCTCACACAGTTATTGTTTGTCTTTAGCCTTGCTTACGTTATTTTTTTATGTTTCAATAATGGTGTTTTTGCCAGTTTTACAGCTTGGAGGTTACAACAACTTGACGCTATATGAAAAAAAGCTTGAAGATTCTTCAAAACATCTGAGTTTATTTTCTACTGCAGAAAATATAACAATAACAGCGTACAGAGGGTGAGTAAATAATGACAGAATTTTCATATTTTGGAGAACTATTCCAATAAGCAACTATGATTACTACAAATTAGATAATGCTACTTTATTTCCATACACTTAATGAACCTCTACAACCATAACCTCTAAAAAGCAAAACCTACATGTTTCTATTCTAATAGGGAGCTTGTGAACAATGATATTCTCAAAAGGCTTTCAGACTCCCTTGAGTACAGAAAGAAGCTAGAAACACAAAAGGCTTCCATTAGGCAGCCATGAGGGTTGAAGTCATTGAAATTTCTACAGTCTCTACGAGACAAAACACTGACCTCTAAAAGTTGCACACGAGGCTTTTCAAAACCTAAAGTATGAGTTTATTATTGTTCTATCAGACTGAGGATTGATTCACTTCGCTGGACAACATCTGCACAACAGCTACTGTATATGATTAATGACTTAATGGCTGGTTCATGTTATGAAATGACCACAAAGCTATCATGCTAGGATTCCAGTAAAATAGCATCTTGTGGTTGTACTAAGTATGACTGCCTGCCAACTAGTTTCAACAAGTTCCTATGATTTAACAATGTGATAACAGAAGTTGCTAATGTGATCAATAAAAGCCCCATAATCCACATTGATTTTGACTCAGCCAAGTGTAAAAGACATTTGAGAGCATTACAGTGTTCCCGATAGCTTTGCAAGTTTTACATGAATGTGTACCAGCCCGTGAACAGCCTTGATCTCTGGTCTTACATAAATTAACTCGATGTTCTAATCTAAAGTGCAGTGGAAAGCGCTAGACTTTATCCGACGGCTCGGGAAGTGGCTCAAAAGCATGATCTTCACATCAGGACCTGAGAAGCTCAAAAAAGCATTTCATGTGCTATAAATGAATACATCGTTTAGAAGAAAATCTCATAAATTGAATAAAGCCTTGATCATTGACCTGATTACAGACTGTAAAGTGCATTAAAGATTCATATACGACTAACTCAGTGCATGTGCATGCAGATATACAATAAGAGTATCTATAATCTTTATCATGAATTAGTATCATAGCGAGCTAAATGAACTGAATTTCTATAACAAAAACAGAAAAGTACCTCAAAGTTCTTCAGGGTGCTTCTCCAGGGGCAGCCTTGGTTAGCACAGTGAACTTTCAGATCCAAAATTTCTTTATTGATAGCCGCATCATTGAAGAACTGAAGAGGGGAAATTATGATAACTTTCCAAAAGATGAGTCATGATTCTTCCACTGTCTAACACCATACTTTATAGCCTTCATTAGAAATGTGAATGTAAACACATTCGCTATTACATTTGTGTGAAGACATAAATCACCTAAGACGATAGATAGACAGACAGACAGATAGATAGATAGATAGACATATAGATTAAAAGCTTGGCTTACTTGGTCAAGAGTCAGTACACTAGTGTCACTCTCAACACTGGGATCTTCTTCTTTACACTTTGTGCACACAAGGTCCTTGTTGTTTCTGTATGAAATTGAAGCATTTATTAATGACATTTAGGCTACATTTAAGTCATTTAGCACATACGCTCATCCAAAGCAATTTACAGTTGATTTTCTCACTTTATAAAATAGCCAAGTTCTTTATGTCTCACACACACATTGTATGGGGACTTTCCATATAAATAATGATTATTATTATTTATTTTATTATTTATTATCAACGTAACACTAACCCTACCCCTAAACCCACCCATCACAGAAAACGTTCTGAATTTTTACATTTTCACACACATAGGCTATATGGCAAGGCGGCACATATTTTCTAAAGGTATTATTTATACCCCTTTGGAAAGTTAGTTATCGCCAGTGATTGATTATAAGCCATAATTATTACCATAACATACAATTACTATCAAAACCGAAAATGAAATCGGTGGCTATGCAAGCCATGTCTTGTGTGTGACAGTGTGTCGTCATGAAACTCTCGCTGTTCTGCTTGAACGATTCTCTTACCTGACCAGCCAGTTGACGCACGCGAGGCAGTAGCGGTGACCACACACCGTTTGACGCGCTTTATTCAAGACATTATTACAGTTGCTGCACAAGTACTTCTCTTTGGGGACCTCGTCGCAGATGCTCTGAGGAAAACCCGACGGGTACTCGTTCTCACCAGGTGTGGACGAAACCCCGTTTAACGACGGGTCTGAAGCTGCTGATCCAGAAGCCATTGAGCTTTTAAATGAAATGTCTGTACCAACAGCACGTTATGATAACATTGATATGCTTTTGACTTTTTGGTTATGTACCCACGGTAGAAAAACACCATGGGGTTCCCCCCTTCCAAACACCCGGAAATATTATTGCGCTGTTTTTCCGCCCACTTATCAGACACATTGCTATGGATCTTGCTGATAATAAACTGAAAAGGCTACAAAATAAGAAGACAAAGAAAAAAAAGTGTGGACTTATAGCTAAATTATGAGTAAAAGTGATAAAACCGCATGTAAACACAAACACTGTCTGTCTCCTGAAAGCCTAGTGAGCATACTAAAACCAAACGCAGAAGTGCTGCCTAGGTTAAGCTCACTTGCTTTCTTGACCCCGCCTACAAAGAGTTCATTTACAACGCGCGTTCTGTTCAAAAAGTGAAAACGTTGATATGTGGTTTTGAGTTAAACTGATTTTTTTATGTTTTTGTTTTTTTGCACAATATAGCTGCCGTGGCATAGAGAAGCTAAAAAGGCTGAAGTCATTTATTCATGAACTGAAAGTGAATGACAGTGAAATTTGCAATGAATCAACTGAACCGATTTACAAAACCAGTCTGTGCGTTCACGAATCGGACTGAATCTAAAACCGAATGAAGAGAACTCTGCACCGAGACCTGTCCGGTTCGTGATGAGTCGGTGGTGCCACAATGAGTAACGTTAGGCTATCGTGCCAACTGCCCACGATTGCCGTTGTGAAAAGTGCAGGCTAGCCAGGCTAGGTATGCAGGTAGGCAGGCAGTTCACTAGATGCGAGACACAGCCTCTCTCTTTCTCAGAACTTGGCCTCAGTCTGCCTCAGTTCACCGTCACATCCGTCAAGACGGAAAGTCCCCATCTGAAAAACTACCTGCGGTTCCAATGTGGTGGACACGTTTTTATTTTTCAAGTTCACATGTGTCTGTTAATTATAAATGGCATGTCGGACTCAGACGTACGTAGTTACTGTCTTCACGTCATAAATTGTAGAGCCATAAAGAGAGAGAGAGAGAGAAAGAGAGCGAGAGAATCTGTATTAGCCTATGCAATAATTCAAGAGTGACGTGACGTAGCCTACGGTATCATGCTCTGTTTTGTTCATTATGTTTTGCAAAGCGTCCTTTGCCTCATTTCATGCAGGCTATATAAACAATACTTATTATTATTATTAATAAATAATACTAATAATAATTATAGCAATAATATTATCGTGGAGTAGCCTATTTTCATAATTTCTATAAGCTACGCTATTACTCCATTAAATAAAATCAAGCCTTTGTGCACACCAGTGAATTTTTTATCATCTACTGTTCATTTCAGTTTGTGAAATGAAGATGAAGTAATCCTTAATGAGATTTTGACCAAAAAGTGGAGCTGCTGGTGATAAGTAACTCATGCAGTGAGACATTTTCCGTGTCATTTATGCTCTGTAGAACTTGTCATGTTTCATCTCTGACCTTCACGCTTGGAATATTTGACTATACAAATGGCCTGAAGATTATTGATCATGTTAATCATACAAGCAGCATTTCATTTTAAGATAGAGTGGAAAAACCCTCAGAAGACCTTATTTACTTTCTACTCAGAAAGGAATCTCCCACTTTTATAGCATGCTGTTACAATATGACATGCAAAAAAAAAAGTCATAACAAATCTGCATATCATGTCATACTTACAGCGGGTTACAAAAATATTTTTTTTCACTTCAACCTGTGATGCGCTTAAACGGCAAAATAAACTTTATGAAAGCTGCAGATAATTGCTGATAAATAGTGAATAATTGTCTGTGAAACGCTATTAGATGGCACATACATTCTTAACTGACAGCAGATTAGACGATAAGAGAGTGAGGGAAGGAGAGCAAGAGAGATAATTTTCGCTAAAGAGGGTGGTCGGGGGTTTTCAATATCTGGTTGAGGGGATTAATGACTTGGGTAAAACTATTCACCTCTACAAGGGACATTCCTCACCTCAAATCAATTACTCTGTAATAGGAGAGCAGGGCTATGCTGGCCTGTTTTTCATTAAACAGCAATCACATGAGGGACCAGTGCATCAAAATGACTGCAGCAGGTGGCTGGTGAGGGGCCCGAGAGGTTTCCTTGAAAAAGAAGATGTTTGTACCCTCATGAATCACCGTGAGAAGATGCAATCCAATAATACAGAAACCTCATGATGCAAAAGCTTAAAATGCGAAGGGCCTTATCGATCTGGCTGTTTGGGAGGCCCCAAACGACAACGTCTAGTGTGCTGGAAACAGAGAGCGAAAGTTTAGGGCAGCATCTTCTGTAAATCTGTCTGTGGAAGACAAGTATGGGTGTTAAGGATATTGGAGGAAGGAGATAAGGAGCCAGATGTGTTTATGGCTTGCTGAGTGTTGAATATCTGAAGCGTTACATCAGCACGCCTCTCGCTTCTGATGCATCCTTCACTTGGTTTTGATTTGGAGATTCTGCTGAGTAGATGCACATCATTCTAACAGTTCCTGCAAGACAGATACTGCAACTGTTCTTGGAATCTAGACCTGCAGAGTCATTCTCTTACAAACTTTCACCACATATACTGTATATACGAGATATTACATGAGTGAATCTCACAAAACAAGAATCAAGAATATATATATAGAACATCAGTAAGATTATTTTATAGCAACTAATACTTTTATTCAGCAAGGATGCATTAAATTGATCAAAAGTGACCGTAAAGATGTTACAAAAGATTTCTACTTTTGAACTTTCATCAGAGAAAAATTCAAATGTAGCTTTTCACACAAATATTACACATTGATAGTAATAAGAAATGTTTATTGAGCACCAAATTAGCATATTAGAATGATTTCATGAAGGAGTATGTAACACTGACGACTGGAGTAAATTACATATATTAAATATATTAAAATAGGAAACACCTATTTTAATTAGTAATACTATTTCACAATATTGCTGTTTTTCTGTATTATTGTTCAAATAAATGCAGCCTTAGAGATAAGAGACTATTTAAAAAAAATGTACCAACCTCAAACTTTTGAATGGTAGTATATATAGATTTGAAACAATTTAGAACAAATTAAAAGAATAAATGAGATGGGGGAAAACGATCTGAAAACTTTGCATATTGGATTTTTTTAGTGGTGTTTTTTTTAAACAAGGGGTATTGGCAGACTCTCTACCGTTTAAATATAAATTGGTGTAAAGTGTCCCTTTGTAGAGCTAGTAACCTTTTCAAAAAAAATATAATTATATTATTTAACTTGGGTAATTTCCATGAACTGGTTATAAGGACAAACTAAATAAATATAATAGGGTCCTGGTGATGTCACTTTCTAGGTGTCAATTTTAAGAAATATATATATATTTTAATAATTTAATAACACAGTGACTTGAATATCAAATTCAACAAATGACAAAATGTTGCATTTTAATTTGAATCAAGAAGGCTAATATTTCTGAGGTGGAAATCCAAAATGGAATGTCACCATCCTTGGATACAGACATTTTAGAACTAGTTACTTTTCATACTATTTTATGTTAGCTAATAGTTCACCAAGCATATACAAACATTTGTGCCGCTAATGCTTTAAAAAAGTAATGGGTCTTAAACTGTTTTTCAGATTTATATCCAGTCATACGTCAGGTAACACAGTTATATTGGAAATCAAATAAAATGTTAAAAAAGTAGGCTGCTGTCGCCTTATGAAAATGAATGTTGCATGATTGCTGGATATTAACCATTTTCCTTTCCATACTCTAGGAGAGTCCCATAAAAAGGTGAAATCTCTCCTTTCCTCCATTTAATGTCATGCATTTTCACGACATTCCTGAAACATTCATCAGCTGAGAGCCTCATTATGCTATCTGGGCCTGAGATTGGCACTCTTGCAAATATTTAAAAGCAAGGCAAATGTGATGTGTCACAATATTCACATTAAAAAAAGCTTTACCTAAGGATTTATTATTGGCCTAGTCAATTACCAGCTAATGAGCTGACCTCAGCTGACATTCACTCCCAAACGGCTAAGGACGAATTCGTTTTCTTTTTCCGTCGCAGGAAATGCTTCAGTCACACCGAAAGCAGGTGTGTTAGAAACTGTGGATGTTTATTAAATGTCACTGTGAACATGAAACACATTTTAATGATCAACATCAACAAAAAACTGCTAATACAAGACCATAAAAAATGTCTAGGATTTGAAATTGAGTCCATTGTAATTCATAGCAGAGCGTACCAAGTGTTTAATTGTATATAGTAGATCCTGGTTCGCTTTCATAGCTGGTCACAAATGATGGGTTTGAAGGTTTGGGGGATGTTAGGAAGGGCAAGGTGTGTAAAGAATGGAAAAAAAACATCCTCTTGTCATCCTGGGGTGTTGTTATACTGCAAGACATGCTCAATTTCACGGTTAAATTATTTAAATGGGTGACTGGCGAGCGCTATCAGCAAGGCAGGTGTAGTTTGAGAGGCCATCAGCAGGGGTTCCTGAGTTCCACGAAGTTCACAGAGAGCAACTAGGGGCCACGGACTGAGAATCTGTATTTCCCCAAAAGGTGTAGCTGTCCTTAAGCGGAACAAAACCAATCTCTCTCATTGCAGCCCACATTTCACATTTCAACATCAAATTTATTTTAATATACCTGTGGAGAGCAAGAAAAACATGGCATGATGAGGTGCGGGGATGTATTTTATTGGCGGTTTCACTGTATTTTGAATGTGCATGCTAGGACAGCTGGAGCATAGAAATCCCTCCTACAGTTTCCAGAGGGAATTGACCGTGAAAGTCAATCTGCATAGCGGCGTTCATCTTAAACAATTTCACCTCACAGAAATGCCTGCAGTTCTCTTTATTGAGCGAGAATGTGTCACAAACTTGATCAAAACACATCAGTTTGGTTGGGCTGTGACAGCTGTTTGCTTTTGAGTTCATTTGACGTTGGTGAATTGGTTTTTCAGTAGGGGTTGGCATTGCAGTATATATACGATAAGTTAGCCATTTGAGCATAGATAAACATTTGATCAATAAAGCAGGTTGATATCGAAATGCTTTGCATTCTTAAAATACTCTGAGGGATAAGTTATCCTTTGATTCATAAAACTATTTCTTTGAATTCCATCCAATACAGATATAAAAGTGATTGTAAAACATTTCGAAACAGAAATGACTATTTTGATGTTGTTGTTTAAAGTGCAGACAATGTTCATCTTTGACAGGATAACCAATGTACAATCACATCAAATATGAAGATACAAATAAAGTTATGAAACCGATTTTCACATTCTAAACACTGGGTCATTTTAGTTAACATGGACATCGCATGATAAATGGCATTAGTATACAAATAAAACATGTTCAATATAGTGTTATCAAAACTAATACAAACACACATAACAACGGAAGTAAATTAATAAAAGGACATTGCAAGTTTATGGTTTGGAAAGGAAACATGTGCTCATTGTCAGTGCCATAAATTAAATAGAAAAGAGAAAGTTAGTGAGTCAAGTCTGCATAGATAAAAAAGCAAACAAATACAAAGAGAAGCAACATTAGTTTACCCCAAAATCAGTTACTCACCCTCACGATTTTATACAACAGTTCAATAAACAAGAAGATAATACTGAGTAAATTGCATTTTTGACAGTATTGCCATGTACTTTTGCTTCACACATGAAAATAGATCCAAATGAAATCAAAATAGAGCCGGTGGTGTTTCTTCCTGAATGATTCATTATTTTGAACAGATCAGGTGTGTGAATGATTCAGTGATTCACTCATAAAGAGTCACTTGATCCGTTCTTGTATGAATCAGCATTTATGAACAAAGTGGTTGAGTAAATGATTCAACAATTCAGTCAGCCGTTTCTTTCATTCTTGAATGTATCCATCTATTTGAACATTCTATGATCCATTACTCACTTGAGTATAATAATTCACCAATAAAGGGTAATTTCCCCCCACCTACTGGCATAACGATATGACGTGCAGAAAGAGTCACTGAAAATCTATTGAACTGTTGTATTTAGTCTTTGCTAATTCCATTTTACACTTTTAGGAGCCTCCAAAGCAAATCAAGGTATGTCAAAGCATTTGCTACTTGCTACAATAAAATAAAATATATGTGTGATTTAAAATGTAATTTAGATCTTGACCCATTTTGGGGTAAACTATTCCTTTTTATATCAGAAATTTCCCATTTTATCTCAAACAAATGACATTAAATGAATGCATGAGAAAATTTTGGTGGCAACCCGATGAGCTACCGAATAAACTATACGGTATAACGATCTCCAGGTGATGATCTGACAATAAAAACAGAAGAGTCAGTCTGTTCACAACAATAAAAGCAGTTCAACCCAAGTTCGCTTCTCAGATCTCCTCCAAGATTAAGCCTTAAGCTCCGTCAATCCATCTCACTGGGATTTCAGGTGAACCCGACCTACTGTGCATAAGATAAAATCCAACACTCTGCTAACCGGCAGTAACACCAAAGGGTTACTGTGTTTTCTGAAAGACGTTTAGCTTCTCCATTGATAAACCTTCCACCGACTGGCCTGTCAAGAGTGAGAAATGTGCCTGTATTGGCCCATCACTCTGAAAGCCACCACTGTGACACATATTCTCTTTGAGCATCCCTGGTGGTCAATAACGTATTTACTCGACATGTGGGGAAAAGTAGTTACCTCCCAGATATTACAGCGGTGTCTGGACACACCAATAGCAACCTTGTCATGTTTAACTACGAGTTATTGATTAAGCACTGGATGAAAATAACATAGGACAAGCTGCCTCTCTGTCGGATGTTTGAGAAGAGTTAAAAGTCTTTATTTTTTATGAAAAGCTACACATTCTTGCTAAATTTCACAGCTACAGAAGTTTTTTTGTTTTTCTTTTTTCTTTTCTGTTTTTTTTTTACACAACAACTACTGATTTTTTTTTCATTAGTACATTTTTGACAATACCTGCAATGTTTCGTCATAATAATATTCAGAGATGTAGAACAGCAGATCAAGAGAAAAAACAACAGCCCACTGGGCATTAGCACGAACACTACAAGATGGTGGGAAAACGGGGATTGAAAGATGGATAGAAACAGAAACATGAGAAAGAGGTTGTCGCTATAAAGTTCTTGCGTTTCTGCACCGAGTGTCTCTAACACCTACAGCCATCTTTTGAGTTGTTCTAGTCAAGTTTTCTAGTTCTCGCTCATTTATTCTCCTCCTTGGTGGGCCTGATCTTCATCTCGGTGAACTTCAGCGAGTACTGCCAGCCCGTCCAGGACGACCACTCGATGCCGTCGGCGTACGAGGTGTGCTGGCCGCGCAGGTACTGTCCGTTGAGGTTGGAAGTGTGGCAGTTGCGGTACCACCAGGCGCCGTGGTAGAAGGACGCACAGTTATTCTCAGAGTGGTCGTTGTCCTTGTCCTTAGTGGTGAATTTCATCCCGTTGTGTTTGAGCAGCGAGTCGCCTGCAGCATCAGATCGATGCGTGATGGAAAGAAAGATTGAGAAAGACAGAGGAAGGGTGGAAGCGTGAGCGTGTGATAGACAGGGACGGTGAGGAAAAAAGACAGAAACAAAAGAACAAGTGAGTCACTCAACCGCAACGTCTTTGTTTATCCATATCATGGAAAGTTTAGAAACTGCAGTACACAGGGTTTCAACAAAGAAGTTTTGTTACAAAACCTAGTGAGCTGCCTCGCTGTCTAAAGTCGACATAAGCAGCTGCCTTCTAAGGCATCAATGGAACCTCAAAACAAGCATAAAAATACACAAATATTAGGTAAAATGTCCATTTTTTTTTTATTTTTATTAGGGCTGTCAATCGATTACAATTTTTAATCTAATTAATTACATACTCTGTAATTAATTAATCTAAATTAATCGCATACACAATCTTACCATGTTTACATGGTACAATTTCTGGTAAGCTACGTTTTTATTATTATTGCTTGACACAAATTTCACGATTTCAATTTAAGGTCATTCTTGTGATTTAATGCAATATTGAATCATTTGGATAAATATTAGGTACACAAGATAGGCATTCATTTTTCTCAAGAAAAAAAAAAATTACACCCAATGCTGTAAAAATACAGAGAGCCATATCAGCTGGTAGTATTTAAGGTTAAAAATAGCTCAAATTAAATATAATGCGTGTTTATTACAGATAACTTTGAAGTAAAAATATAATACATATGTAATATAGTAGTAGGCTACATAAATTTAGAAAAATACTCTATAGCTCTTTTTTTATAGCTAACTATAACGTGCTATATGGTCATGAAATGGCTTTCCTGGGGTAACTTAGGCTAAATGTTATGTGACATAATTGTTCTCCAGCTGTTTTATTGACCTCTTTTCGCGGTTGAAAAACACTGATTGATCGAGGAATATACATTTCGGTAAGTTTTAGGCTGCCCTACTGTATCTTTCAACATTGGTCATTCGTGTTTATTTACTATTAGCTAGAGATGATCGGTTCACGTGCCGCTATAGGGATCTGTCATGTCACATTTACAAGCGCCAAAACGGTATTTATTGTTTGATTTTCGCAATGAAATTGACAGAATCTGAGAGCTGAGATTTTTTTAATATCATAAGTAACGTGCTCTGTCTTGTCTGTTTCCGTGTCCTCTCTTTGGTGCGCGATTTTTCTGTGCGTGAGAAAATGGTTGTGTGACGTGAGAGCGCGTGAAAAGTTACAACACACACACACACACACACAAGCGCGCTTTCTCTCAGACACACACTCCTGGATGCTTTGCATTGATGTGGTACAGTTGACAAACTCCGTTTGTTATAAGTAAATGCAGAGGTGGAAAGTAACGAATTACATTTACTCGCGTTACGTAATTGAGTAGTTTTTTTGTGTACTTCTACTTTTTTAAGTAGTTTTTAAAATCTGTACTTTTACTTTTACTTAAGTATGTTTTCTTTGAAGTATTGTACTTCGCTACATTTGAAATCGTATCCGTTACTGAGTAAAAAAAAAAAAAGAAAGAAAAAAACACACTCCGGAAACTACAGCATTGATTGATGGGCGGGAGAACAAACGCGCAAAAAAAGGTGCCGCAAACACAGCTGAAGCTGAAACCGAAGCGCCAAGCGAATTATGGCCAGTATGAAAATACTTTGTAGAAAAAAGCGTGGTTGTCCTCGAGGATAGATATCCAATTAGCAAAAAATGTGGACGCAAAGTGGCTGCAAAAGGAGGATATAGGACACCATCCCTCCTGCAGATAAAGGTATGTCCCGATGTACGTGATGCAGAGGGAACCCCGGAATCTAGTCATGAAATTGAAATTTACATAACGCAGATGTCACGTAAAACCATAGACAGTAAAAGAAATGGACAGAGCGATCTCATTGGAACTCAGTTGAGACAGTTGAAGCCCACTTTTAGCGATTTTTGAGCACTTCCGTTCCTGACGCGCAGACTCAGACCGACTCAAACTAAGCTTGATGACGTGAGCAACCTGTCTGACAGACGTTAATCTTCTAGTAGCTGTGCGTGAAAACTGCCAACGTTAATCTTGCAGAGACGGGGAACTTGAGCAAAGAGTTATTTGGCGTGAGTGAGCAGGAGTAAGAATTCCGTTGCTTTTATGGACTCATTATCTATGGGCTTCTCCCTTGACGGGACGTCCCCCCGATTGCCTGCGAGCTTCTCCTCCTGTCTGTACGGTAACTTCTGTACAGCGCGACAGAGAGTCGAGTGGTTATGACGCAATCGTTAGCCTATTTTTACTAAATCTGTTTCTACGGAGCCATAGTGTAACATAGAAGGTAATGGAGCCCTTTATACATTGTCGTGTTTCTTTAGAAATAAATAATGGACAAATGGAGTCTTTAAACGCCTCAGATGTAAAGTTATTCGCTGTCAAAGTGACGCAAAAATGAATGGGAGTCAATGGAAATGCTAACGCAAGTGAAGTTCTGCTACAACATGGCGGCACCCGGCGGGCTTCAACTTCCGGTCGATGGATTACCCCCTTGCGTAAAACACGCAAAATAATGGATGGATGAATACATGGAAAGTAGAACTGTGCAATAAATCCAATCGCGACATGCTCTGTGAATATTTAAGCTTAGCACAAAAATACTGCATGTAAATATATTACCCTATTTGTTCTGCTGAGCTGCGCCGCTTTGTCTACTACATACTCAAGTACGCGTGACATTCAGAGTCTCACAAACAATTTGAGGATATGAATACATGAACATTTCCAGAGCTGCTCTGAGAGAACGCCTAATGAGCATTTTCATAATTTTATTTGAGACAAACCATTGTCAAATACACTTTGAAACACTTTTTTTTTACACTTTTGGTCTTCACTACAACCCGTCAAAATAAAAGTTTGGTTTTACTAGGAGAAAGTAGGACAGAAATATATTACTATTATAGGCATACAATAGAACGTAGCCTACTTCTCTAAATAATAATAATAACAACAATAATAATACATTTTATTTAAACATTATTTAAAGGAATATATTTTTTGTCCATGGTTTAATTTAGTAAATCTGTTTTTGCAGCGCTTCCCCAAAAAATAAAAGGACACAATTTTAAATTTACATTTGATTACAACCGTTTTTGATAATATATTTGGATTAAATCATAAAAAGAAACATTCATTTTCTGAATAAAATACATTTCATAGGACAATATTTTTTTAAACATTTTAATAAATTATTAATGTTAAAAATAAGTTGTTAATCTAATTCATTATCAATTATCAAATTTAATTGATTAGACATGTTTTATTGAAATTTTAATAAACAAAACAAACAAATGGTTTCAAGTTTGTTATAATAATTTGTTCAACCAAAAAAAAAAATCCTGTTTTCATTAAAGGGGCACTTCACCTCTGGGAAGATGAATGTGTATTTAAAATGGGTCATTTATGTAGAAGAAATGTGAAATTATTTTTGAATTTGGAGCTTTCTAGACTGAGAAAAGCCAGAAAATGTATTTTTGGCTTATGTGGATGAAAGACAACAACTCCCAGAATGCACTTGCTTCGCTGCCCTAGGAGGCCACGCCTACCCGTAACAGAGCGCAGTAGTTAAACAACAAGTCTAGGCTAGTGAGTCTCCGTGATGAGTCTGCCCGGGTTTTTCGAGATCGCCCATAATGTCCAGGATTCGGCTTTTGCGTTCTACAGTCGCCATTCATCATGTTTACTGTGGCGAGTAGGACGAGTGAGGGCCGCGGGAGAACGGCGCGAGTCATGTTTACATGGCGAGCAGGACGACGCTAGGGCCGCGGGAGAACGGCGCGAGGCCGGTGGCGTGATTACCGATGAGCGACACCTGTGAGATGCAAATGACCCTTTAATTGAATCCTGAAGTGACCCTTTAATTTAACTGTCATTTTAACTGATGATAATAATAATAATAATACACATAATTTAATAATACAGTTTATTTATTTAATAATTGATTAATACTGTAAACCGTAATATTTTCTGAGACGTTATCGTACTGTGAAAATCTCATACCATTACAAGCCTACACGGGAGAGTCCCCCACCCCCGCTGTTAAAAAAGTTACTCAGTAACTTTTACTCTGAGTAAATTTTAAATGAGCTACTTTTTACTTTAACTTGAGTAGATTTTTAGACCAGTACTTTTACTTGTACTTAAGTAAAATTTAATTGAAGTAGTAGTACTTTTACTTGAGTAGAATATTTTATTACTCTTTCCACCTCTGAGTAAATGTTCCAAACAATGATCCAAGCAGCGCGTTCTTGTCTCCCTCCTTCTTTTTACACGAATGGTGGCTACGGCTAGAACGGCTCCGCAAAGGTCAAAACAGAATGGATTAATCTGCGTTATTTTTTTTAACGCGTTATTTCTTCTCAGATTAATTAATCGAAATTAACGCGTTATTTTGACAGCCCTATTTTTTATTATTTTGAAAAATTTAATTATTATAAATTATTTTGTCAAATATTTTTGCAATTGACATTAAGGATATTTTTTTTATTATTATTCAAATTTTAAGCCTGGGACACACCAACCCGACGTCAAAGAACTGGCGGCGATGAAACCCGGCTGCGCTTGAACACACGGAAAGGACTAAAGACGACCGTCAACTAGCATCTGCGTTCTGCGTCTGTGTGTTTAAGTACATTTTTATGTCAGAAGGTATCAATAGTCTATTTTCGCCACTCAAAAATGGAAACCGAAACTTCCAATCAGAGTTCTCTCCCTCTAACAGACGGCCCGATGCAAATTCAACATGCTGAATCAGCCCAAAAACCCTGAGGGTGTCCGACACGAGCCAAAAAAAACTAGGGCGACTGACAAACAAAAACTGCCCAACAGCCGACCGTCAGCTTGGTGTGTCCCTGCCTTTATAAAGCCAGCATGCAAATAGAGTGCAACAGAACAGCAATGCAATAATGATGCCTAAAATATTACAATTAATATTGTAACTGTAATGGGACATATGTATAATGTCT